AAGCTTGACGGCTTGGCCTGCTAGAGAAGAGGAGGAGAGAGCCATTGTTGAAGATGCCATTTCAGGAAAAAAAGAAAGAAGAAAATAAAGTGTATTGTCTTTTAGACAATGTGGAAGTGCTGATTGCTTGTTTGAAGAGAGTAGTTAGTGACTGTAGTTATAGTTCTTGGGCGCATGGGTCCTTATCTATGGGATATCTTCATCTCTTTTCTCATTGGTGAAAATAAACTTCTCAGATTTTCAAGATGAATTTCTTTTTTTCTCTCTTTCCAGTTGGCTTCACATGCTCCACTAGTTAGTTTCTTAAACAAAAAATAAAAATGAAAGAAAAAGGAAAACCTGCGCTAGATATTATGCTATAAACGCTAGCCAGAAGAATTTGCCTTGTAAGTTGTATCGACTTAATTTCCAGTTGGGTTCATATGCTCCACTAGTTAGCTCCGAAATGGCAAAAACAGGGACAAAGAAAACGAAGAGGTAACTCAGTTTTGGATATTTGACATGCTCTGCTGTGCTCTAACCAATAGGATTTGGCCACCTACTCTTTTGGATGAGAGCAATGACCTGTAAAGGATCTATAGGATAAGGAGAGAAGAATCTAACACTTTGAAATCTCTGTTGGCTTCATCAAAGATGAGTCAAAGAATTTGACAGGAAAATGACCAAGAGGAAAGCACCACCAGGGAGGGATCCATATCAGCTGAAGCCTTTCTGATGACTCATTAATAATGTTCACCCAGAAAAAAGAAAAGGATGACTCATTTCATTAATGTTCTAGACAAGGGATTTTGAAGCAACAATTTCCTTCTATTCTTTTAATCCTTGCCCAAATAAAGCTCTTCCTTATAAATGCAAAAGTCTCTGAACAACTAGTGCCCTTGACCAAATAAGAGAAATAGGAATACGATGATCATATCGAGCCTAGTCCAACCATTTAGATGACAGAATTATTTGGAATAAAATAAAAAGGATGACACAAGTAGTAAGGCGGCATTTCTTCCCGACAACAACACTTGAACATACATTCAGCGGGGACCCAAGATTTTATTTATGAGATATGAGATATACAGTCTTCTTCAATTAAGAAATCTCTCAAATAATTTTATTTGTGAAACATCATTTAGGACACCCTACAAATTTTTTTTAACGATCCAAATCATCTATTTTTCAAGTCTTCATTCATAGATCATCCTTGCAAAAACCGGACAAATTGAAAATTATTAAGACATCCAATTGCAAGTATAAAATAGACGAACACAATGCATTAAGAAAAGACTAAAATAACAATCATCTAATTAAGTGGTCAAACTATTTCGGATTCAAGTGAATTTTTGCAGGATCTTTAAGGGAATATCTAAAAACTAGATGGTTCAGATCATTGAAAAACAATGTGTGATGGACTCTACAAAGATGTTCTCAACTAAGCTTAGTTTATATATAGGGTTAGGGTTAACGACAAAAGACTCCCTAAAGGTTTGGGGTCATTCTCAATATGGGTCATGGAGTTTCAATTTCATCAATTTACACCCCAGTGTTTTAAATTCTGACCAATTTAAATACTCTGTTAAGTTGACCGTTTGGTCAGATGTTATGGCGTGTACATTGTAGGACCTACCTATTTATTAATCCATTAAAAAAAATTTAAAAATGATAAAATATTAATTTAAAAAAATTAAAAAACCCAGCCCCTCCCCTACCCAACAACCCAACACCACATGGTTCACACACCCCTTCTCACCTACGAACATACAACCACATCGGCACCATATACAACTAATTTCTTTTCTGTTCAAATTGGGAGGGTTGTTTAATCCCCAAATTCGTGAACTATTGGCCATCTTCCTTCTCTCTTCCTTTCACCTCCCTCTCTTTATTGCCTGACCACTTTCTAGATCTAACGCCACCATCCCTTTTCCCTTCTCTTTCTTATTTTTCTATTTGCCTGTTGTTGAGGCCCAAAAAGTCACGAGAAGTTCAAAGACATTTAAAGCCCAATTTAACATATAATGTTGGTCATGCGTTAATCCAAGCTGTATTTTGAGAATTAATTCATTAAATAAATATAGAAATAGTGTGCATGTCATGCCAAGCTAATAATACATTTTTCATATGTCAATCACCTATCAAGCTCACATGAACCCAAGTCATGTGGTTTACGGGACTTGCACGAGGGATTGTGGTGTGGAAGGTTACAGAAGTCCACATGGCCCATAGAAGCTATTGGATAAAGGAGACTTTGGGCTAACTATTTAGGAGCACCAAAATCCAAGCCCATTGCTTGGAGTTCTCCAATGTGGGTGAGCAAATGAGATATCCTTCAAGCACTCCTTATTACCCTTTGGAAACAAGCCAATTCCGACACCTCACTTTACCCATAGGAAATAGTCACTTTCCAATGCCTAGCTTTGCCTGTTGGAAATAATAATGTCTCAATGCTTCCTATTACACATTGGAAATAGTGGTTTCATCACCTCCTTTTACCCATTGGAAATAAAGGAAAGCCCGTGCCTTTTATAAATTAAAAGCCATGACACAAGTAGAGAACGATATCTCTTGGTTGCTCAAGCACCCCAGCAACCATCATACTACCTTCCTTCCTCCCTTCGATTGTTGCAAGCATTCCAGTAGCCATTCCAGCCATTCCTCAGTTATCACAACCATTTCTTCTACTTTCTTAGCCTTGAAATCCTCCATCTTCCTTATAAAGCCTCACCAAGCATAACTCCAAGCTTTTCTTTCCTTCTTATACCTTTCCAAGCTATAAACACCATGGCCTTCAAGCCTTAAGTTTTTCCTTCCATCATCATTCTCTCGAAACTCTTAAATCACCATAGCCATAGCCACAAACAACAAATTATCAACACCCAAACTCAAGCATATCCAACACCAAGCCAAGCACATGCATTCTCATTTGCTAAACTTGTGGGTCTTTAGCTCTCACACTCTAAGCTCTCATGCCAAGCTCATACAATCTCGATTCAACATCAGTGACAGGACCCGATCTAAATTCCCCCTTGGAACTCATGTCGAATCTTGTTACATAATCCGACACCCGAACAATGTCAGACCCACTACAAACTTTACACCTCTCACCCGTACTTTTTAAGAAGAATGGGTCGAGACTTCTACCAAAATTTCGGCCGAGTCTCCCTTGTAAAATGGAATTTTCCCAAATTAACACCTGCAAATAATGACAATCTAATAATCCCAATTGGCAGCACACACAAAATAAGGCGCACACAAATTTCACATGGCCTATCCCCTCAAATTCAGTCCTAAGTGGGAAATATCATAACAACTACTAGAGTTAAATTTACAAAGTTATTTCCAAATAAACAACGAGAATGGCAAATAAAGTTTCCTACTAGGTAGAACTACTAGGACTTCGCCGATGCCGGAGTAGCTTACGTGGACGTATGAACTTTGAGCTATCTACATCCTGGGGACGCAAAATAGTAAAAGCGTGAGTGGACAAAAAAAAATAATTTCTTGAAAGTAATTATACAGAACATATTGACCCCTATGTTTTCGCAAACCTTTGAAAACTTACTAAAACACAAACAAATTTACATATGAACAAAATATAATAAATACACATGTAGGTAAAACAATCTCGGAACTAACTGGAAAGTAAAGTTTCAATTAATACAATCTGGTATTTCAAACAACATTTAAATCCCAAAATATCGAGTAACTCAAAAATATAATTCAACAAAAATGAAGTTTCGAACCATTCTTGGAATTCAATAAATCAAGCAAGCTCAAAATACAATTCAACCGAAATCTAGTCTTAATCCAATTCATACAAAAACTCTCCACCCAAGTATACCTATGGGGAAAATTGGCCAATCTTGTGTAGTATATAGGCAGGGTGGCAGGGGAAAATCCTGAGGAAAATTATTGGCCAAACCCTTGTAATTGTGATACGAGTACATGCAATAAACTAAGGACAACCGAGGAATGGGGAAACTGGTTAACCGCTTATGTAGACAATCGGGTAGGTGGCGGGGGAAAATCCTAGTCGGACACCCACATAAGCAGGTAGAGGCAATACATTAGCCAAACACCTACATAATAACCTTACTGTAGGTACAGGCAAACAACTGGCCAGACACCTACATAGTCAACACAGGTACATGCGATATACTCTGGCCGGACACCTACAGAGTAGTCTCTATGTAGGTACAAGCAATCCTAGTCATGTGCACAGACTCTACCGAAGGCAACCGGTTCACTTTTTCGAAGGCAACTGTTATATTCTTTTCAACTGACAACAATTATACTTTTCCGAAGGCAACCAATAACTTTCGAAGGCAACTGGGTGGGGTGTGTTTGAAATCCACTTCTTAACACTTAAACATTGTTGAGGCCCAAAAATCCAAGGGCTAGGCCTAAGTTAATTCTTAGCCCAACATAAGTAATTAATCACAAAAGAGGCCTGATCGGGACATAAGAGAAATTGGAGGACGCACCTACATAAGCCATGGGCCATGTGTCACGCCAAGCAAACATGTGCAAAAGGGCCAAAATGCACTGGCTTTATAAATTCACACTTACCAACCTAATCCGATGCTACTTGGCCCGATCATGGCTTATTGTGGCATAATAAAATTCAAGCACAAGCAGGCTAAGTAAACACGCAAGGTCATGTGAAAAACCGCTATTTTAATACCGAGCCATGTTATAGGCTTAAGTGGGCCTAAGCCACGTAATTACCCGGGGCTTGCTGAGAAGGTTGTGGTGTGGATGGGTACGAGCACTCGCAAGGCCCATTGAGAGATCAAGGAATGAGAGTTTTGGGCTGCTTAGGAGCACCAAAACTCAAGCCCATTTCTTGGGCCCAAGCACATGGGCTAGCATAAGAGAGAGAACATGACCCAATGCCTTAGAAAGAATACAATGGTTTGATTAGAAAACCCTATGTTAGTTAGAGCACCCAAATACTTTGTTAAAAACGCAGCAGGCAAACTACTTCCAGCAGCTTGACGAAAACAAGCTCACTAGTCAATGTAGAATAGAGTACCACTTACCCAAAACTTTGGGAAAAGCCCAGCCCAGTGCTTTACAAAATATCTAGCAGCGTGTTCAGCCTTTGCCCAAAGTTCTATGACAGAGTCAACGGAAGCCACTGTAAAAACCAAAAGAAATTTGTACGAGTAATAGGGATACTCGTTGGGCAAACGATCTGTCCATTCTCCCTTTCCTCTATTAACTCTCATAGGAAACCCAGGGAAGAAAGTGGTTGGCGCCTCACCCTTATGGAGAAGTCCAGCTGCATCAAACCCTTGGAACCCCAAAGGGCTCATTACCCATACGCCTTGGATAGGAAAATTTCACCGAATAGGATTGAATGGAAAAAAGCAAAGAAAAAAGAATAAGGAGGTTAGACAAAGTTAGGGGTTCTAAGTGCCTATAAAAGGGGAGCTTCCTCTACCCAGAAAATCATCATACAAAGCCTGACCAAGCTTTGTCAAGCAACTGGGAATTTACTCAAGCCACCTGATCTTCTTCTTCTGTTGTTTCCTTCTTTCCCTAAGATAGAAATCTTCCTAATTTTCCTCTGCCCCACTTGAAACCTTTGTTCTATGTGAGAAACTCATGCTTTTCTCTCTCTCAAATTGCTAAACTTGTGAAAGCTTAGCTCCCATGCCACAAGCTCCTCAAGCCAAGTCACTCATCAGTTTGTTATGGCTATTTGTGAAAAGAACCTAAGAGTGTTTTTCTAAAGTTTCATCAAACTCTTCAAAAACTCTTTTGGGAGTCTGGTTCTTGAACTCAGGCACTGAGGGAATTTTGTTCGTTTTCTTCTTACAGTAGCCCAAGCCCATTCGTCAGACTACTATAACAAAAAGACCCCTACAAACATAAAAACTCCCTTTTTCTTTTCTATTGTTAGATATGATATTTTATATAAATATGCTTAGGATTAGGAATTTTCCTTACTATTTTTTGTATTTTTTTTCCTATTATTAACTTTCATTTAGTTATTCTTGAAGCATTTTTTTTTTCTTTCCTATTGTTAGATCTGATATTTATATATGAATATGCTTAGGATTTTTTTTGATTATTTTTTTTTTTTTTTTTTTTTTTTTTTTTTTTTTGGTTTTTTTTCTTTTTTTTTTTATTACTTTCATTTAGTTATTCTTGAAGCATTTTTTTTTCTTTCCTATTGTTAAATCTGATATTTTATATGAATATACTTAGGATTATGAATTTTCTTTCCTATTTTTTGTACTTATTTTTTTTTAAATTTATATATCAAGGTCTGATATCTTTATTAAAATCTTTCTTTATTATTAAATTTCGTAAAATATTTTTTTATATTTCAATCTATGTATTCGTTTTACTAGCTAATTAATTCTTGCCTTCAACTGTCAAATATTTCTTCAAGCGAAGGCAATCCTGCTACTCTTTTCAAAAGGATGGTTTTAGAATATTTAAAAGCCATACCTAAATATTTCCCTGAACATCCAGCTCAAGCATATATGCATACCATGCCCAAGTTTTTGTAGCACATTTCCTTGTATTTATATAGGGGTCGTTTAGCATCGCGGACTGTCATGGACTGGTAAAAGTATGGAATAAAACCTTCGCACGTGTGATAAATCGTCTTCTTAAAACTTTTTCTTGTATGTATATAAGGGTTGTTCAGAGATGGCTTAAAACATGTTGGAAAGATTTTAATACTAATACTTGGAAAACACTTCAAAACTCTCAATTACAATTGTGCTATGCGCGAATTAATACGAGGACAATTAGCAGTTTACATTATTCAGTAAAGTCTTCCGTTATTATAGTTTAGCACAAAGATGGACCGAATGTGATGAATTCGTTTATTAAATGTCGTTCTCGATCGCATGATTAGACGGTAACCAGTTTACTTAACTCTAAACTCATCATTTTGGAGTATCCGGGACTCCGATTCTCGATCAAAGAATTCCTACTTGATCCTAGAGGTGCAGAGAACAACATATTTGGAAATGAGGTCAATCCAATGGTCCAAACATATCGTACCCGGACATCGCCTAATAGGCGTAAATCCGTTCGACTGTCAAACGATAACCAAATTCGAATCCGAGCATACAGTCATGCTCGGGATGACATGGGGAGTGTTTTTGAATAAAATGGGCAGCCATCGAGTGAGCCACGCGCCGACAGTTTGTGGGTGGCTTAAGAAAATTTTGGCGATTTTCGAAACACCCAACAATAACTATACCAACACGTTCAGACTAACAATGGGAGCATTTTGTATTCTTGGACCATGGCCAAAAAGTGGCTGGAGCTAGCCAAACCAAAGCCGGAATGGTACAGTTTTGACCTGAACTTCCAAGTGGTGTCGTGCAACCTAGGGGAAACCAAGAGGGATGAGAGAGCTTCCTGATCCAAGTGGTGGTGTGACCGGAAGTGGCCGGAAAAGTCGGAATTCAATTCTTGAGTGGGAGGTGGTATTCTAATTCCTGAAGAACTAACCCATTAGGAATTCATCTTTTTTACTCATTATATCCTTACACAATTTTCAAAATTCCAAATTTGTCATATACTTTAACCCAACAGCGAAGACATTTTAGTAGTTGGCACCACTCATACCCTAATCTCATATGGTTTAGTAAACAACTTCAATAGGTATCTAGAATCTAACTCCCCTTAATCCATATAGATTCTAGATTCCTTGTCACGTGCGATGAGCACAACCTATGATTGCACATGGGCAACACATACTCAATTGCTTTATGCCCATCGCCTCATCCCCATCCGTCAGTATTGATGTAGGCTTCTTGACTTTCATGGAGGATATGAATGTCTTCAATAACTACTTTTATGTTCCAAAGGTCTCGTCCAGCAATATGGCACGACCAACACTCGCTCGGTGGTTGTTTGAACCAACAAATAACATTAGAGGCTTGTCATACATATTGGTTTTGTATGTGTTGTCAAATATGAGGATGTCTCTAGAGGCAATATAATCCAAAAGTGAAGTAAAGTCTCTCCAAAACAAGTTAGTAAGCCTATTCTCCTCATCTCCACTGAACTTAAAAAAATTCAAGATCCACTGCTGCTTTCTCTTTCATGTAGGTGAATTTAGCTTCAGTGTCGCTGTCTAACAATATTTCCCTACGTGATGCATCAAACTTCTTCCTTAAGGATTCAAGTCCTCAGCTCATACATTGATGGAGGCTTAAATCCTACACTATATGCGGCAATTCCTTCCACCATAGGTAACCAAAATGGATCATTTACAATATTAAATGGAGAGTGCTCTAGAGAAGAAAAAACGACCAATCTTTTGACAAACTTCCTTTCTTTCTTCTTGTTTGTATCCCGAACTTAATGTACTTTGCCGACCTTCTAAAGTGACAAATCTATCCATTGGTCCTTTTGATTTAGGTTGTGCTCTAAGAGCCTCATCAACTGCAACACTCCTAGTACCGGGGATTCCATATTCTTTATCTAATGAAGCTTCCATACTCTGAGCCCCTCCTTGTGGACCATCCCCAATCTCTCTAAGCATTTCATTTTTCTTTCTTTTTTCAAGCTGAAATTTTTTCAAAGTTGCGGCTCACATGCTCATGAACTTTCTTACATGGTTGCATATCATGATGAGTTTGACCCAAATGATGCTTAAGTCTAGAAATTTCTCCACTACATCTTTGATCACAAAAATGTGCATCCCAAGTATTCTTTCCCCCCCTCTATTTCTTTTGCATACTTCCACGCAGGATCTTTTCAATTCATAGCTATAAAACAACACCATTAATATTTTTAAGATACAAGTATGATGTAGGTACGTCAAATTTCTACTATATTACATAAACAAATAAGATAACTAATATATTAAAAAAAAATTGAAAAAAAATTATACATAACTTCAAATTACAGTTGCGAAGAATTAGAGAGAAAAATAAAATGGCTTACTTGTAGTCGAAAGATGAAAAGAATTCTTGAAATTGATGGAGATTATCTGGTAATGGTAGAAATTAGGGTTGTACTATACAATATATATATATATATATATATATATATATATACTAGTTCCTTAGCACATGCTCACGCATGTGCCAATTTGTTATTATTATTATTTTAGTATTAAGAAAAGATAACATGGGTATCTGATTTTGTTTTTAATTTTAATTTTTTTAATATAAAAAATGTGAATTTACCATATTATCCTCATTTAAATAATAATTTCAATTATTAATGTGTGAATTAACCAAGAGCATTTTATGGTATTTTGAATGTTTCTCCATTCTTTGCCTTTTGCTTTATATAAATAGATAAGTCCATGTATTAATATATTAATTTAGAAAAGAAAAAAAAAAGGTAAGTAGAATAAAGCTACAGCTGGCTGGATTTAGAAAAGGCAAGAAACATATTAATTCTTCTTGCCTTAAGTTTATTACAACTAGCTCCTTGGCACATGCTCACGCATGTGCCAATTGTTTTTTATTTATTTATTTTTATTTATAGAATTAAGAAAATATAATATGGGTAGTTATGTTCCATAAAAGTAGGATCTATTATCTGATTTTGTTTTTAATTTTAATTTTTTTTAATATGAAAAAATGTGAATTTACCATATTATCCTCATTTAATTAATAATTTTAATTCTTAATGTTTGAATTAACTAAGGATATTTTCTGTTATTTTGAATGTTTCACCATTCTCTGCCTTTTGTTTTATATATAGGGATATTTGTTGAAATGTCACCTGAACTTATACATTAGTTTCAATTTGTCACATGAACAAAAAATTTAAGAGAAATATCACCTGAATTTTTCAAAATCTATAATTTGTCATATGACTTTAACATCATCCAATTTTCCATCCATAATTAAGGGTATTTTAGTCTTTTCATTTTTCATTATACAAGCCTTTCCTACCAAACATTAAAAAATTAAAAAATGAATTTTTTTTTCCATCCCCTGTCGTCTCTCTATTCTCCCTCCCTCCCCAACCACACCTCCCCTCTCCTCTGTTTATTTTCCTCCAAGACCTAAGCATAGAAGGGATGGGCTGCCATATCTGCCAAGCTGCAATCAAAACCACATTGACAGAAAGATGAATCAGTGATTCTTGTAAATTCTTTTGCAAACTAAATGAAATAAGAAACGGCAAAGGAGATTTAAAAGGTAAAGCAATCAATGTGCTGGATCACCTTGATGGAGCAGTGACATAGTAGGCAAGACCACCAACTGGATTACCTAAATGAAATATTTAGACTCCTGCCACTTCCCCAACAAATTCACGAAGCAATTCCCACCATACCTACTGTAACTATACAGAGAAATAGAGGAGAGGAGAGGTGTTTTTTTTTTTGTTGGTATGGGGAGGTGTGGTTTTGATTGCAGCTTGGCATATATGGCAGCCCATCCCTTCCATGCTCAGGTCTTGGGGGGAGAAAAAAAAAACAGAGGAAAGGGGAGGTGTGGTTGGGGAGGGAGGGAGAATAGAGAGAGACGACAGGGGGGATGGAAAAAAAATGCATTTTTAAATCTTTTAATGTTTGGTAGGAAAGGCTTGTATAATGATTTTTTTTTATTTTTAAACACTCTAAAAACGAAAAGGCTAAAATACCCTTAATTACGGATGAAAAATTGGATGATGTTAAAGTCAGATGACAATTTATAGATTTTGAAAAGTTCAGGTGACATTTCTTTTTTTTTTTTTTTCATGTGACAAATTGAAACTAAAGTATAAGTTCAGGTGACATTTCAACAAATATCCCTTATATATATAGATAAAGGTAAGGAAAAAAAAACAAGAAACTTGCGTTTTTTTTTTTTCTCAAGACACTCCAAATGAAACGAGGTGGTTTCAATTAGAATTTTTTTAGAAACACTACAATCAAAACGACGTCGTTTCATTACAGTAAACCTTTGAAAAAAAGTAAGGACCATCCTTATTCGAGAGAAAATATCCCTGGTACATGGACATCAAGCTTTCTCAACTCTTTGCCACGAGGCTTTGATGCATGCACGCACAATGGGGTACAAGGTCGTATTTACTGATCATTCACTCTATGGTTTTGCTGATGCGGGAAGTATACACATGAACAAGGTATTGCAATTTACATTGGCAGAAGTAAGTCAGGCCATTTGTGTTTCTCATACAAGCAAGGAAAACACAGTGCTACGGTCAGGTTTGCCACCAGAAAAGGTCTTTGTGATACCTAATGCTGTTGACACAGCTATGTTCAAGCCCGCACCAGAGCGCCTGAGTAGTCATGAAATTGTAATTGTTGTTATAAGTAGATTGGTTTACCGAAAGGGTGCAGATCTTCTCGTTGAGGTCATTCCAGAAGTATGCCGTTTATACCCCAATTTGAGTTGTTTTCACATAGCATTCAATGAAAATATTACGTTTCTTATCATGTTTGCTCATTCTGCGTAATGAATTTTAATATTGGAAAGGACTTGAATGTGTGCTCCAATAATTCTGTGATTGTATATTGAGATGATCATATATTCATCACTTGTCAGCATTACATGCGAAACAGTTTTGATGTGTGAAGGGCTAACCTAAGGGGATGCATTTGATATAAAGAAAATGTTGAGGGTGGTTTGGAGCATAACATCATTGGATGTAATAATTCTGTGATTGTATATTGAGATGATCATAAATTCATCACTTGTCAGCTTACGTGCAAAACAATTTCGATGTGTGAAGGCCTAACCTAAGGGGGATGCTTTTGATATAAAGAAAACGTTGAGTGTGGTTTGGAGCATAACATCATTGAATGTAATTATTAACATGGTTAATTAGCATTCAATCATCTCATTCAGAAATATGTGGTAAGGTTCGTTTCATTGTTGGAGGAGATGGACTGAAACGTGTGCGGTTGGAAGAGATGAGGGAAAAACATTCTCTTCAAGATCGAGTTGAGATGTTAGGTGCCGTGCAACACTCTCAAGTACGATCTGTCCTAATTACTGGCCATATATTCTTAAACAGGTACTTATGAATATCTTCTTTCATTTTATCTTTTTAAAATATCTGAAGAACAATTTTTGTAGCTACACCAACTCAGGTGAAAAATTTAAATCGTTGGGAATCTTGTAGTTTACTACAACTGGTGGTCAAATTGTCTTTATTGTTTGAAGTTAAACAGTGGCGTTTTTAATACCGGTGATACTATCAATACAATTTGAAACATAAGTAAATTAGGAGTTGCAATTGCTTGCAGATACATTGGGGCATAGTCATACTTCTTTTTCTGCTAGCTAACTGTCGAAACTACGGAGAAAGCATCACAGGTTCACAACTATAGTAATATATAAATGTGAATGAATTTGCATCAACATGTATTCAACTTCATCTATGTCTGTTAAAACCGTTACCTTTTGTTGTAATTTTTTATGATATGATTTTTCCCTTCTGGCAGTTCTTTAACAGAAGCATTTTGCATAGCGATCTTAGAGGCTGCTAGTTGTGGATTATTAACAGTCAGTACACGCGTAGGAGGTGTCCCGGAGGTATGAACTTTGGAATCTTTTTTCTCTAATAGTTAATAAACTAGTATTTTTTTTCTTTCTTAAAGCTAGGATAAATTCCATCTCTTAGTAGAGTCGAATTTGTGTTAGATTCATTTGAACTTAGTTAACCCCATTTCTGTACATAGGTACTACCAGATGACATGATTGTACTTGCAAAACCAGATCCTAGTGATATGGTTCAAGCAATAAAGAAGGCAATATCTATACTTCCCAAAATCGACCCACAAGAAATGCACAATCGTGTGAGTGCACTCTTTCAAAAATTGTTGTCTTTAGGCGCATTGACTACTTGTACAGGGGTTTAAATATGCTTCTTTGGTTTGGTTTGTAGATGAAGGAGCTGTACAATTGGCATGATGTGGCGAAACGGACAGAAATTGTTTATGACCGTGCTCTGAAATGCTCAAATCAAAATCTTTTACAACGACTCTCATGGTGTGCTACTGTAAAAGCAGAGTTAGTGACTGCAATACCATTGTTCATCTTGTCTTGCTTGCGGGGATGATAATGAGTTTTTCTTTACAGTTCAGGGAGACAAGGATGCACAGGTGGTTGTTTTTTCAGTTCGAAGGCTGACTGTTGTATCTCTTGATCCATTAGCTTATTAATGATTGCAAGATGGAGTGGAGAGGGAGCGCTTGTGTATTTTGTTGGTAGAGAAACTGTGCCACATTGAATTTTAGTTAAGCTGCTTGAATTGGACGTCAAGAGCTGCATTTAAAAATTGGAATTGTTCCCTTCGTATACAGCATGAAATAGATTGACCTTAAAAAGAGGATGAAATGGATTGACCTGATCTCTTTTTTATGTTGTTTTCACTTGGCTGGTATTATCAAATTAGTCCTGTATGTAGTGAAGATTTTGTCATGAAGACTTAAAGATGCTTGTCTGTTGCCTGCATGGCAACTTTCGAACAAATTTTGGCTGGAATTTGGCCGGATTGGCCACTTTCTTTAAATTGTTTAAAATTACCTTCTAAAATTTTGGCCTTAGGTGTTGGTGATGACATAGCCCGGTTTTGTACTAATTACTCATCCTATTTCAATAATATACTATTGCCCTTCTTTCAAAAAAACGAAAATGATCCTTTCAGTTTATTTCGCATCCAGTTTCCTATGATTCTTGAAGGTCGAAGCCTCTTGGTTATATTTTGTTTTCCTTAGGGCAGAGATTCCACTGGAGCATGTACTTTAAAGGGATATTTGTTGAAATGTCACTTGAACTTATACATTAGTTTCAATTTGTCACCTGAACAAAAAATTTAAGAGAAATGTCACCTAAATTTTTCAAAATCTATAATTTGTCATCTAACTTTAACATTATCCAATTTTCCATCCATAATTAAGAGTATTTTAGTCTTTTCATTTTTCATTATACAAGCCTTTCCTACCAAACATTAAAAAATTAAAAAATGCATTTTTTATCATCCCCTGTAGTCTCTCTATTCTCCCTCCCTCCCCAGCCACACCTCCCCTCTCCTCTGTTTATTTTCTCCCTCCAAGACTTGAGCATAGAAGGGATGGGCTGCCATATCTGCCAAGCTGCAATCAAAACCACATTGACAGAAAAATGAATCAGTGATTCTTGTAAATTCTTTTGCAAACTAAATGAAATAAGAAACGGCAAAGGAGATTTAAAAGGTAAAGCAATCAATGTGCTTGATCACCTTGATGGAGCAGTGACATAGTAGGCAAGACCACCAACTGGATCACCTAAATGAAATATTTAGACTCCTGCCACTTCCCCAACAAATTCACGAAGAAATTCCCACCATACCTCCTGTAACTATACAGAGAAATAGAGGAGAGGGGAGGTGTTTTTTTTTTTTTTTTTTTTTTTTTTGGGGAGTGGGGAGGTGTGGTTTTGATTGCAGCTTGGCAGATATGGCAGCCCATCCCTTCCATGCTCAGGTCTTGGGGGGGAGAAAAAAAAACAGAGGAGAGGGGAGGTGTGGTTGGGGAGGGAGGGAGAATAGAGAGAGACGACAGGGGGGATGGAAAAAAATGCATTTTTAAATCTTTTAATGTTTGGTAGGAAATGCTTGTATAATGATTTTTTTTATATTTTTAAACACTTTAAAAATGAAAAGACTAAAATACCCTTAATTATGGATGGAAAATTGGATGATGTTAAAGTCAGATGACAAATTATAGATTTTGAAAAGTTCAGGTGACATTTCTCTTAAATTTTTTTTCAAGTGACAAATTGAAACTAAAGTATAAGTTCAGGTGACATTTTAATAAATATCCCAACTTTAAAAGCCTCACGAGGTCATGCTCTGTCCTTAAAAATTCAACCTTAACCTTAGTAAAGAGAGGATGTAATGCAAACGCAAAATGCAGGGCCTACAAACTTGTGTCTGGCCAAAAGAAGATAAAGAGGATGCATAGCAAAATCCAAAATGTACATGGCAATTGACAAGTTGGGTACGTGGAGCAAGCCTAAACACTAAAAACACGAAACAAGCTGACCTCCAACCGTTGGTTGAACGTTCATCTATGGCCGCCATGTGAGCTTTGTATATCACACTTGACACTTCATCAGTCCATTGCTCTCTGTCTCTCTCTCTCTCTGTCCTCGTATCAAAGCCATGGCAAGCACTACCTCTCCCGCTCTGTCTGTGTCAAAATTGGATTTTCCATTTTTGTCCTCTCGGAGAAACATAACTTTCAGCAAGGAAAATCTTCATCAAGTTAAGATGCCTCGTAGGATGTCTAAGTTTTCTGGATTTGAATCAAATGGGTTTATCTTATTTTCTTCTTTGAGTGGTCAAATTGGTGAGGGCAGCTTTCCTAGTCCAGAAGCCACTGCGAACAACAATGCGCCTGAGGTCCAAGTTCAAAGCAGGTACCATGCTTTCAGTTCCTCTCTTGCTGTAATAATCCCTTATATTGGTTTAGAATTTTGCATTGTTCTAAGTTTCTGTTTGGTTTTAGAAAGTAGGAATTCTTGAAGCAACTGTGAAGTTTCATATCCGGTTCTGGGTTTTTCTTTCAAGAGATGTATATAAAGAACTTTCCTCTGGTTTCTCGGAAACGATCAAATTTTATGTCTTTAAGTTAGCTATGCTGCCCTTCATACGAAATTTAGTGAGTAAGCTGTTTTTTATTAAATTTTCTAGAAGGTTATACTCTAATTTAGCTTTACATTCTATGGATCATACAATGCATAGTTGTGGAAAAATTGGCATAGTGGTAAGTGAAAAAAGATGCGACAGAGGATAGCTGAATCATAAAACATCGCATGAGCCCCAAAAACTAAGTCCAACTGTGGTAAAGGGAGCTAATATGGACTAACCAAGAGGGGCAAATGAAAATTTGGATGAGAACCTCAAGTTGGAAGTCTCATAAAGACTACATCTTGCCATCTTTCTACAAACACTCCAATTTCCACTTTATTTGGAATCTCCTGATTTCTAACTGAGACCATGGAGTGAGAGTTGCCCATGTGCTTTTATAGAGTTGTGCTTTTGATTCCCACTTAATATATGAACCGATATAGTTTTAGTGATCAGCTAATGAGAATAATTTGGATACTCATGTTGCTTGTTGCCTGAAAGAGTTTTTCTATTTTCAGTTGCTATTGTATCATTGATTCTTTATTTCATGCTAATTGTAATTGATATAAGTATTTGGTATCTTTTTTTGGCTGACAGTGGGTTTAAATTAATGATTGTCTTTCTTACTTTCTAGTGTCATTTTTCTTTTGTGTTTTGTAGAATATGGAACTGGAGGGGTTATTCTATCCGCTATCAGCATGCTGGCAACAGTGGCCCAGCATTAGTATTAATTCATGGTTTTGGAGCAAACAGGTCTACATCATGCACACATTACTTCTCATAAGCAGACAACTAATTGCTATAGGTATTACATGCGCAAATAGCTATATACATTCATGTTTACACACACAGGCATGAGACATATCCATTTTTCTTAGTTGTACGCATGGTATGAACTTCATTAAATTTGAAAAATTAAATTTACTTATGTAAGGTTTTGCACTTTTAAGTTTGTTGCTTACTTATCTTGTAGATAGTTGTGAGAGAGGTAAGTCCTTGCTAATTAGATTTAATAAGTCAGATCATAGCTGCTCAAACTGTTGTTAGTGCTTAAGATAAGGACCCATGAACAGACCAAACTCTAATCTTTCTGGGTTTTGGTGCAATCTAGAAGCTAAAGCTTCATTTTTTGGGCTTTGTATTCCCCACAATTTTCAGTTTTCGTGCATAACTTGCATTTTAAATGTTCCCAAACTATTTGCAAGTTTCACACTTTGCCATATGTTTCAGAGTTTTGTTGTATGATCTCTTTCATTCCATGCTTAACTTGTCAAGCTCAGTACCTATGACACACTTGTTATCTTTACAGTGACCATTGGAGGAAAAATATTCCAGTTCTTGCAAAATCACATAGGGTATACTCAATTGATCTTATTGGTTATGGGTACTCAGACAAACCAAATCCTCGTCAATTTGGGGAAAGTTACTTTTATACATTTGAGACATGGGGCACCCAGCTAAATGACTTTTGTATTGATGTGGTCAAGGATGAAGCATTCTTTATATGCAACTCTATTGGAGGTGACCATCTCTCTCTCTCTCTCTTTTTGGTATGAGTTGTAAGTTTTTATGCTTAACTAGTTCTGCCTAGTGATAAATGAAAAGGATCAAGGGAAAAAAATATATATAATTTATGCCGTCTTTGTTAATCTAATGGCACCTGTGAGGCTGTGAAAAGATCTTGTGATAGGATATTATGCTTTCCACATGTGTTGGTCAGACATGCCTTAACAATAAATAACATATTAATACATTATGCATTCAGATGCGTATATGGAAAGATAGTGAAGTCTTGGATCCGAAGGAGGTCACCATTAAAGTTCATTTTTGGTTACTTTGCTGCAATAAACTTATGAAAGAAATATTTTGGTAAAATATACTGCCTTTGCTTTCTTGGGTACCATCTTCTAACACGCTGGCTTTCTTGCGTACCATCTTCTAATGTCCTTTGTTCTTTAGAAACTATTTCTTTGAATGACATCAACAGAGACATACCCTTATGAGTTTTTTTGGGTCTTCACATAGGACTTGTTGGTCTTCAGGCAGCAGTTATGGAGCCACAGTTATGTAAGGGCATAATCCTCTTAAATATTTCTCTTCGTATGCTTCATATTAAAAAGCAGCCTTGGTACGGAAGACCATTGATTAGATCATTTCAGAACTTACTGAGGTAAAGCTGGATTAAATAGTTTGTTTGTCATGTTAGAGTTCTTTAGTGTAAACACAGAGTTCAAGTCATGATGTTGTGGCAGAAATACTGATGTGGGCAAATATTTTTTCAAAACTGTTGCCACACCAGAGTCTGTGAGGAATATCCTTTGCCAGGTATTTTACGATAGCGACATATTTATTTTTGATAAGCTGCTAATATTGAAGTATATAAACCAACGTTATCTGATTAGCAAAGATAGATTCATAGCATAGTACAAATTACGAAAATGATTTTTTGCAAATAGTTAAAATTTGGAATCTTTTCAATCCATCCACATAAGTCTTTCTGGATCTTAATGGGTATAACAGACACTTCAGCTATGATATATACATATTCACTCCAAGTGGGAATCTAGCTTGAATGTCGTTGTGGTTGCCTATGGTGGTGTGTGTTTGTTAAGCTGTATAGTGTTATATCCAAATTATCTTGTTTTTATAGAAGCTAAAAAACTCGTGAACACTTGCACTCTTCCCTTTTGTTTCTTTGTTTAGGTTTACTGATACGAATAATTGCATTTCAGTGCTACCATGACACCGCCCAGGTAACAGAGGAACTAGTTCAAAAAATCCTTCTTCCAGGACTTGAGCCTGGTGCTGTAGATGTATTTCTGGAGTTCATTTGTTACTCAGGTGGCCCCCTTCCTGAGGAACTATTGCCTCAAATGAAGGTTAGTGTCTCAGTAAACTGATTACAGTATCCTTACTAACCACTCACACCAGTCAAATTTACTATTACTAATGCATCAAGTAGCTTCAAGTTTTTAATTTTTCTTCTCTGTACAGTGCCCTGTTTTGATAGGATGGGGTGAGAAGGATCCATGGGAGCCCATTGAACTTGGACGTGCCTATGGGAAATTCGATTCTGTAGAAGACTTTGTTGTTCTTCCTAATGTCGGCCACTGCCCTCAGGTCTCTCTCTCTCTCTCTCTCTCTCTCACACACACACACACACACACAGCCACAAACTCTCTGAGGTTATAATTTGTCTGTATATATAAGCACCAGAGTAGGTATTTAAGAGCTGCCTTGGAGAAGAATGGTAATAATTTAGCTCTCAGAAAGGTTTGCGTATATGAAGGCTATTGGAGTTTTTAAAAATGTTTGAGAAGATGTATGGATGTATAATGTGGTTTTGTAGCACATGCTAAAATCTGGCTCGGAGAAACTGGTTTCTGTTGTCTTGGGGATGAAAAATTAGATCAAATGTATAAATAGGGAAAAGAACTGCTAGCGCCCAACCATAAGCAGATATAATTAGTATGAATTCAGATAACTTTCCCATTGACAACGAATGCTGATTCATAATTTGTTAATGTTCCTGATCCTGAAGGATGAAGCACCTGACTTAGTGAATCCACTGGTCGAGTCATTTGTGGCACGCCATGCTGCACTCTCAGCCAGTATTTCCACGGCTACCTGATCTGTTGCATGTCAGTTTGTTGCAGTTTCTTTGTGCAGCAAAGGCCATTGCTAGTCAAAACTTAATTCTTATGCCCCAGAAGCAGCGGCTTTCAAACAGTATTGCAAATTCTTTTGATGTTCTATTGATGGCGTCATCATGTGGCATCTGAATAGAATGTTACGAGTACTTGGTATGGCACCCTAACTAGTTTTATATTCTACTCTTTCCCTTTTACCAGGAATACCAAGTTTCTATTAGGTTTTGCTCTTTGTAATCACATATTATGACTGTAAGACCTCTTTAGTTAGTGATGTATCAGCTTCACATTGAGGAATACTTTGTATATATTTTACAATCACATTGAAGGATATATACGTCGTATATACGTATTGATCTTGTCTCATATATTGCTATGGTACGTCATCTTATTTCCAATACATTGTTGACAATGATGATTTGAACACTTGAGAGTTGAAATCATGTTTAGAATGCAAATGGTGCTTAGTTAATTGATTTTACTGTTTTTGTCCTGTAGAAGGATGACATATTGGGTTGTGACATGTTTATCATTTGGTTCAAATGGTCTCTCATATGTATGCATTCATGTGGGGCTGCAGTTCTTAATCAAACTGTTTTGAACTCAAGGATGTATCAGACAGAATAATTAATGCCCATTTCACTCATTACATCAACAATTAGAAATACTTATTTGGTTTAAACACATAATGATGAGATCTTGTACATAAGCAGGAAGATTAACCCTTGTCTTTTTTGCTTGCCTTTTACTGCTGACTCAATTAAATTTTCCCATGAAAAACTAAGATGGAAAACTAAGATGCAGACTTTTGTCAAACTGTAGCAGATCATTATCAAGGATTTTAAAAGCCAAAAAGTCAGCAATGGCTTCATAATTAAATGGAACAGTGACAAACCCGAGAGACATTTCACCGACAAGTTCATTGTCCCGTTTAGCTTGTTTTTATTAACTTTTACTGGTTCCAAAATCATGATTATTTACAAAGCAATGCGCCTAAGAAAAGGTGAATATATGTTCTGTTTCTGAGTAATGGAACTTGTCTTGACCTAAAAGAGTTCAAATTTTGCTTTCATATCACCCTTGTTTGAATAAGATAAAATATCTAGGTAACTAAATATAAAATAAGATTTTCCAACATCCGTTACCTTAATTTTTATAGAGCGGAAGAGTCGAGAAAATCTCAATTTTAGTTATTTGTCTTCAGATTTGATTCAACTTATTGACATAATTGTTTATTTAGAATACAAAATAACCCTTTAGAGTTTATATATTTTAGATTTTAAGCAATTAACGTAATCTGATATTACAACCTAAAATCTAAGATCTAAAGAGTGATTTTACACCCTAAAGAATCAACCATGTTAATAAATCAAATCAACACTAAAGAAAATTGAGTAAAAATAAGTTCTCAGCACGTTGTTTAAAGAACAAAAGTCATGCACAGAGAATAAACTACTCAAATATCAATATACAATGTCTCATGCGAGTCTCTCTCCCTAGCAACCGCACAAACATACTTATGGGATTAAGAACCATTATGAAGATTGTCCAATAGGACAGGATTGAAGCGTGATCATACAATAAATCCTAAAATATTAGCCAGACATGACATATGCTCATGATTAGGAGGTGAATGTGGTAAAAGTGCGTGCAAACTTAGAAATCAAACCCATATGTCTTTTAAAAATAAAAAATGAAAACTCAACAATCCAGAAATCAACCTTCTTCAATCAAAGTTCCAGAAAATTCAAGCTAGCAGAGATTGGACCCGAACCTAGAATGCGAGGTTGGATGTTGGGGTTGACCCTCCCTTTCTCGCGTCAACACCCCCCTCTCTTGCCTCACCCCCACCAAAAGTATCATACACTCTAACCCGCACTATCAAAGCTCCTTGCCCTTCTTGTCATTCCCTTGTCACGATGTGATTGGACATATGAGCTCTAATTATCTTTCACGTCACACTTAACAGAATTTGTAATGGCATGGACCGTTTGTGATATAAAAAAATTAAAAAAAAAAGAAAAAAAGGGAAATTCTATATGAACCCCGTTAATTGCTCTTTATACCCGATAATTTTTTACACCCCACTAAATTTTAATAAAATTTCAAATTACTCATTATATCCTTTTTTTTTCCTAAATTGCCCTCATGAAACCCTATTCCCTAACTCACTGTGTAAACCCCATCTCATATCATACACCACCCATTGAAAACCCCATTTCCTTTCAGACACACCCCATTTGAAATCAAACCCCACCCCATCTGATATCAAGCCCCACCCCATCGAAAATTCCCTCATCTTGCAAACACACCTCATCGCACACCCCATCAGATTTACAACAAGCTCCACCGCACACCCCATCCCCTTTGAAATAGAGTCATCTCACAACCCATCTCTGCAAACCACCAAACCCCATCGCACAACCCATCTCTGAAATAGAGCCATCACACCCCACAACCAACCCTAAACGCCACACCCAGTCGCAAACCACCATCTCCTCAGCCATCTCAAGCATCCATCACTAATTTGTCAAGTTTTCACAAATTCTTCGAAGAGCCAAGGTTTGATTTCAATTTTGATTTCTATATTTACGTTTCTAAGTGTTGATTAATCCTACGTTTGATTTGACTTTTGAAAAGCCAAAGTCTAATTTTAATTTTGATTTCAACATGGTGGGTGTATGGTTCGAACCTGGTTTTACGAAACTGGATTTTAGATTTGATGGATTACCACTGAAATGGTTACATTGCTTCAGTGGTAGTCCACCGAATTTGAACCTGATCTGTACATTTTACTTTCAGTGGGTTACCACCAAAATCGTTACCTTGTTTCGGTGGTAGTCCACCGACTTTGTTTCCGTTTTTCAATGATCATCTACCAAATATGTTACTGAGTGTGTACTTAATATTGTTTGTTTTTAGATATGAAGAGGACTTGCAGAGGTACTACTGAGGCTTCATCATCTCGACTGAATAGACAGCATCCCACGGCCTCAACGAGGAGATAGAGAGCGGCTCCCTAAGATCACTTTAAGGATATTGTACTGGGTACGTGGAGTGGTACCTCAACGCGGGATATCCGTTTGTCCAGAATCCTAATTATGAAGCTGCATTTTGCCTCAATGAAAAGCAGATATTATCAGGTAAATTTTCTAATTTTGTATGACTTCCACTTTTTCAATTTTGTACTTTTTACTAAGGCATTGAATTCAAATTTGTTACAGGAGCGTGACGAGCGTATGTTGTCCTTTACTAGGCCGCTCGTGGCATTAGGGGAAATAGTTGCATTGCATACACGACCTTCTCAAATTTATCACGCAGTTGAGACCTTACAACAGATTTTAGAGGGTACAAATATATGGTCTATCATGACATATCAACGTCGTCATGGTTAACTGACTTGCTAGCATGTGTTTATTAGAACTCATGGAACTTTTGTTGTTTTGATTAGTTATTGCATGCTTGTATTAAAACACATGGAACTTTTGTTGTTTTGATTAATTATGAAGTTTGTATTAGAACTCATGGCATGTTTTCTTTTCAAGCGGGACCAAGGTGACTTAAGACGAGTCTTGATATTATATAAAGGAAACCACAAACCTATCCTTAAAAGGATTTAACCAATTGTCATGTATGCATTCAAGAGCTTTTTAAAATTCACTGAACTTAGACTTAATCTGTCGCAAACAACGCCAATATTCCTCCTCCGCTTTTGAACCAACCAAAGTATTCCAATCCTCATTAAATTGCTTTCATTGTTTGAGAGTCCCAAATAACTTCTTGCAGTTTGACAACACTCCTTTGTTAATATGTCATCTACATAATAAATGTCGTGCTTTCGGAAATATAAACGTAATAGAATTCATGAGTGTTAACTCTGGATCGGTGACAATAACACCAGGAAGACAATTATCATCCAACAAACTCCTCAATGCAGTTAATGCCCATGTGTAATTGTCTTCCTTCTCGGCATTCATATACACATACGCAACAGAAAATGTCATATTAGTAGATGTCACCCCCACAATTTGTAATAGTGGGAAACGATACCTATTAGTCTTATAGGTGCAATCCATGATAAGTACATGTGGAAATGCACGCAAAATATCAATATTAATGGGGTGTGTCCAAAACAAGTCAGTTACAATATCATCAGATGTCTTATGCTACTCAATATAATTGTGTTTGGATAACTTAGTATGCAATTGTTGCATTTGGGTTCTCCCAGCAAATTCTTTGGTTCTATTTCGGATCCTAGCGTTGTATATTGTCTTCATAGTTGAAACATTCATTGCATCTCTATCTTTAAAGGTGACCAAAATATCTCTGAGTTTCACCTAAACTCTTAGACGTGTCCACCAACAAGGCATTCTCCTCTTCAGAAAGTCGCCCCACAAATGAATGACCTTAAAGATACTCTAAAATAGGATGGTTGTGTACTCCACAAACCACCACAAACTTCCAATCATCCTTGTCACCAATATTGACACATTTTAACAAGAATGGGCATCCACATTTCTTGGTACCAGTGTCCTTAGCACATTTTTTCATATCACTATTTGCATCCGACCTTATATCAGTTGTCTCACTAGATTTGCAAGACTTATAGTTACCATTCCTCTCACAAGCAAGTATTACATGAGGTCTCCTCTTGCCCTTACCTCCATGATCAGACCTTTTAATTACAATGACAATATTATTCATTTTTCTTTGTGCACGAGCTCATCTAAGTAATGCATCTCTACCATTGAATATTTACACATAAAACTCATATTATTTAAAGATAAAATTTGAAACATTAATGCCACGTTAATGATACTAAAAGGATTTCAGAGAAATAATAACCAAATAAGTTGTGAATTAATCACTATAGTCCATTACACATTCTGTTCCCACATTGTTGCCTTCAGTAGCGGCGTCACCTTGTTTTTGTTCCTTCAATGAGAGTAAGATCAAAATAGCTTGCATTAAATTTGTGGTCGGCAATAAGTTACTAAAAAAATAAATAAATTTCGGTTAGATGCCACTGAAACGTAGGTAAAAGTTCAATAGTAAACCACTGAACTACGTTCCATGTTACGATGGATCTCCACCGAATATTAAGTTCATGACCGGTCAAACCCAACCGAAAAAGGTGCAATGTTTCGGTGGCATCCCACCAAATTTATCTGTCGCTTAATGTGCTGAACGCAACCAACGACCATTATGAAATACTAAACTTGCAAAACACCAAAAAATAAACTTGTACCTCATTCGAAACCTCTCTAACTTCAATCTCACCCTTCATGAATAAATACAAGATATTTTTTCACCAATATAAACGTATAAATCTAGGGTTTAGGGTTCAGGAACATGATAGTTTGAGAAAAAAGTCAAACTAGGATTGCAGGAACATATGTGGGGTGTAGTGAGCAATTTAAATTTAAATTTTAAATTTTAAATTTTTTTGTCCTTAACGGTAATTATGTACAAGGGTAAAATAAGTTATTCATGTTTAAAATTAGTATGGGGTTTAAAGAGCAAATAATGGGGTGCCAATAAAATCTCTTTTAAAAAAAATCCTAAATATTAAGGACTATTAATGTTATATATAAAAAAAAACTTAAGGACCATTTGTGACAATTTCGTCTAAGGGACCATTTGTGATAAAAAGCCTTTATTTTTTGGGAGTTTTTATCCAAAAAGCCAAAATTTAACCCCCAAATTCATAAATGTTAGTTTTTAAAATACTTTCAAATAGAGCTAAAAACTCACTTAAATTGACCCAAATGCCCTCTAAATTATAACTCAATTATACCTAAAAGCTAAAGCCCAAAATAGCAAGAGCACAAAAACAAGATTGGCTTCGTCAACTTAATCATGCCTATGAATCCTATTATAAAAATGACAATGTAATTACCAAAAAGAAGAAGAAAAGTAACAGCCAATGTTTTCATAAATCCAAGCAATAAAAATCATCTCTGCGACTATGGCTTGATTCGTGGGTTTTGGAGTTTTTTACAATAAAAAAATTTAAAGTCAGTTTCTTGACATAATAATTTTTAATTGAGAAAAAAAGTTGAACTTTCATGCAAAATTTGTATCATAAATACTGCTAGTCTGCATATGATATGGGGGTTAAACTTTCTTGCAAACCATCATATGTGCTGCTGCCTTCCCTCAGCACAAGAGGTCTAGAAAAATTGTAAGGCCCTCGCTGTTCATAGATTATCTTCCCACAACACAATTGCATATATTAACTTTGCTTTCCATTAAGAGCAGTTCTAGCAACAAGGGATGGGGGGGCGCTAGGGGGATTTAGGCCCAAAAATTGTTTCTAGCAGCAAGGGCTAGCCTGGCAGGAGATGGGGCCCACAAACCCAGGCTAGCCCTCAGGCAAGATCTGCTTTAGTTCTAGCCCGAGTTTGCTGACGCTTTGACGTCAGCAACAAAATTTTAAAAAAAAAATACAAAAAAATTCATATTTTTTAAAAAATAAATACTTAATTGTAGTTTTCACTTCCCACACCAAAACTCTATACAAATTTCTCTCCTCATATCTCATGTGAATAGTTGTTGTCATAGCAATTGGTGGAAACATCACAACCTTTTGTGAGGGCAACAACTATTTACGTGAATAGTTGCTGCCCTAGTCCCCCCTTGCCATCGCAAAGGGCAAACTGCTGGAAGTGCTCTAAGGGTGATTGGCGAGGGGAAGTGTCCTTGTGTTTGAGGGTAGGTTGGGTGGAGAGTGAGGCTTGCGCTCAGTAGCTTACGGCTTGGAAGAGCATGCTTTTTAGTTAGGTTTTAATTTAGAGGGCATTTTGGTCAATTTAAGTGAGTTTTTTTGGCTATATTTGAAAGTTTTTAAAAAAATTGACATTTATGAATTTGAAAGTTAAATTTTGGCTATTTTTAATAAAAACTCATTTTTTTGGTCGGACAACAGGTACAGGGAGAAAGTTGAAAACTACACGATTCATAACTTAATTGCTGTGCAAGCTGTTCTACAAAGACTTGTTCTTGGCTGGCGCAGGAGAAAGACTTCCAAACTTCCTGCTTTTCTCAACCTGAGGAGGACTAGCTGGCCAATCACAGTTTACAATTTTGTTGAATTCCATTGACCCTTCAATTCATTTCTGCTTATTTAGCTCTGGTGCTTCTGGTGGTCTGTAATTAGGACCAGAACTGATCATATTTGGTGCCTTTGATTGAGAAGAAGATGGAGTTGGCATTGGGAAGAGAGAGAAAAAAAGTGGTGGTCATAGGAGGGGGTGTTGCTGGCTCTCTTCTTGCCAAATCACTCCAATTCCTTGCTGATTTCACTCTCATTGATGAGTATGCATCTCTCTCCCTCTCTCTCACACTCATAGCTGAATGCCCTTTTGTTGAATAATTGAAGTTGATTTTTTTTTCAGTTTGTTTAGCAGATGTTGCAATCTGAGGCTTAAGTTGTTCTTTCTTCTTTTGTTTGCATATTTGACCATTTAAACTACAGAAACCAAAATCCTCTTTATGGGTTTATACTTTTTTTCGTCTATTTCGATTTAATTCGAAGATCTGGTATATCATAGATTGCTGATGAAATCTAATTACAGCCTCTGCATCTGGTAGGTTGGGAAAGAACAACTTTTGGGTTCCCTGATATAGAAGTTATTCTAGTCTCATAGTGATCATGTTATTTAGTTTAAGCAAAAGGTTCGAAACATGGAATATATCCTCAACCCATGTAATGCATATATCGTTTCTTTGGTCCTTGGATCTCCTGAGTTACTGGACTAGGAGAATTGAAATTAATTGCTTTAGTATATTTGACTTGTGGACAGCAATACTATTTGTATTTGTGCTTGTGTGCTTGTAAGTAAAAGTGATTTGTAGCTGTGTGAGAATTGAAACCTAACAATATAGACTCAGCCACATTGCAGTCAATCTGGCTTTCAATTTTTGAAGGAGTGCAAAGTGTGGAGTACCTTGCACAGATCCTTCTGTGTGCATTGTTTTTTAATAACCATTTCCAGTAGAACCCAAAAGAACACAATTGAAGATATTGAATTTGGTTAGGGTATTAAAAGTTGATTGTAGGCTCTGCATTTGGTTGTGGTCAATGAGGTTAATCTATACTTGTCTATCTTCCCTGGTACATATGAAGGAATTGAGAGGGAATGTAATAAAGTTCAATAATTTAGGGTGAGGGTAGGGTGTAACTCTAAGCAATCTCTATGATGTTCTGAATGTGTGTGTGTGTGTGTGTGTGTGTGTGTGCACCGGTGCATGCGCATGTGTCCTGCGCGTGCTTGTACGGAAGGTTAAGTTCACTGGATAATGCACATGCTAGTTTCTAAATTTATTTCTATTGACTGGGAATCAGCTCACTTCTATTCAGAACTCTTTCGCTTTGGTAGTTTTGACGTTCTGATTTAGTTACCATTTGTAAGAATCAATTAGAAAGCTGTTCACTTAAGCGTATGCATCATCCACTCAATCCAGTTAAGCCCTTGTCTTGAATGATCTAGACATGAATGATTTCTGAATTAATTTCTTTAAGTTAACCCATGCTCATAGGATATACGTTAAAGTTAAAGCTGGCCGGCCATTAACCTAGAACCATCCCTTCTCCCTTCTCCAAGCTCGATAGTGAGCGCATAAAAGAAGTTTCTCACTTGTGACATTTAAATGGTATGTACTTTTTTGGACATAGGAATTGCTAGAAACATGAACATGATATCAGGAAATTGACTTTGCTGGGCATATAACTCATCCTAGCTGGCTAGGTGTGTTGCAGCTAAAAAAAGTTAGAAATCATGCGTGCACAAAAACCATAGAAACATAGTGGAATTCCACTTTTCTAACCAAAAACCATTCTCTCTCTCTCTATCTCTCTCTGTTTTATCCCTGTAAGTTCATTCTTGACCACAAGAGAAGCATTGTTAGTAATTCTGAACTGCTGATGGTTGTAGTTGTCAAAAATGACATATTGTAGAACTTTACTTCTCTAGAATTTTTTAATCTATGCTTCTACGTGAAAAAAAATTTGAAATCAGGAAGGAATATTTTGAGATTCCATGGGCAAGCTTGAGAGCCATGGTGGAGCCATCATTTGCAGAGAGATCTGTGATCAACCATAGAGAATACCTCACCAATGGCCAAATTATTGCATCCAGAGCAATCAATGTCTCAGATACTGAAGTGCTGACTGCCACGGGACGTCTCATTCCCTATGACTATCTTGTCATTGCCACTGGTCATGCAGATCGTGTTCCCAAAACTAAGACTGAGAGACTTAGTGAATTCCAAGAAGGTAAAGGAACTAAAGTGTAATCCAAACATTTCTTTCCCTTTTGTGAACTGCCAAACAGAGTGCTGAGAAGGCAGATTGCATATATTTCAAAGGAGGGTGGCAATATCTCAGATGGCCTAGCATTCCAATTAATATTTGACACAGAACTTTCAGCCATAAAATTCATGTACCAGCATTAAAAGATGAATTTTCTAATTAAAAGAATCACAATTCACAGTTAATTGAATCTAGAATATTTTCTTTTATTAACTGATTTCTTAAGAACTTGTAATAATAACATTTAATGTTTTGTATATCCTTATCCTGTTCTTTTGTTAATTGTGCTTGACTTAACATTAATCTCTCCATTCGCAGAGAATCAAAAGATACGATCAGCTAATTCAATTCTAATTGTTGGAGGAGGCCCAACTGGTGTAGAACTTGCTGGAGAAATTGCTGTTGATTACCCAGATAAGAAAGTAACTCTGGTGCACACTGGATCAAGGTTGCTGGAATTCATTGGACCAAAAGCTGCAAGCAAGACTCTGAATTGGTTGAAATCAAGGAGAGTTGAGGTGATATTGGAGCAATCAGTCAGTTTAAATAATATCTCAGATGGAAGCAAAACATATCAAACTTCAGAAGGGGGGAAGTTTGAAGCAGATTGTCATTTTCTGTGCACAGGGAAACGTCTGGGTTCAGCATGGCTCAAAGAAACAGTGTTAGAGAATAGCATGGATGTTAATGGGAGGTTGAAGGTTGATGAGAATCTGAGAGTCAAAGGTCGAAAGAACATCTTTGCAATTGGAGACATTACTAATATTCCTGTGAGTGCTAGCTGCAACCTTGTTATATGAGATTCTTTAGTTGCTAGGATAGTTTGTTTTGATAAATCTAGCATAAAAGTAACAAATCATTTTTAATTAAGGGAAGTTGGGAAGTCGGGCTTTTACTTTTGAAACACTAGAGTATGCTTTATGCTATGAGTCATTATTATCTAATTCTAACCTGAGTTTAGATTTATTAACATAGTGATGATAACTTGTCTTTTCTTGATTAAAATAGTTTATATAATCAAGTTCATAAAGTGCATATTAAGATTTGTGTTTTGAAATAACCTGTGGATCACGAGTTCCAAAAAGCGGTCTCTACCTCATGCTGTTCTGATTGTTTTAGGTGAACATCATGTGTTGCTAGCTTCATGCCATTCCCTTCAAGTAGTCTATTTTCCATATTCAATCTGCATAATTTGAGCAGCAAGTGCCCCTTCAAGGGGCGAAAAAGGAAGAAAAGGAAGAGCTAGATAATATTCAATCTCTGTGATCAATCTGCTCAATGATGCCTTATGCTTATAGTTAGATCGCTTGTATTCTCATATTTCTCTTGCACCCATAAAAAGGGGGAAAAAGAAAAAGGAAAAAGAAATAGCATGTTTGATTATATGGATTTTAATTTGAGAAGTATTATATTGGTCTGTGGAATGGCTATGCTTCGGAAGCAAATCTAATGCATTTACTGTGTGCAAACATCACAGGAAATCAAACAAGGGTATTTGGCACAAAAACAGGCTTTGGTGGCTGCAAAGAACTTAAAGCTATTGCTAGCAGGTGGAAAAGAAAGTAAACTGACTACTTATGAACCTCACTCAGTAATGGCACTTGTTTCACTTGGGAGGAAACATGGGGTTGCACAGTTCCCGTTGACAACCATTAGTGGACGCATTCCAGGACTGATCAAATCTAAAGATCTTTTTGTGGGAAAGACAAGGAAGCAGCTGGGCCTAGAACCTCATCCCGTACATGATTAATTTGGTGTGTATATGGATTCTTCTTTTACAGCATACATATATGCATATGTGTATTGCATGTGTTACTTGCGCGCCTCCGTGCATGCGTGTGGAAGGGCAGCTCGTTGACTTCACCATACAATCAACACAGTTGGCGGCATCCATAACATCGTATGCAAATGTATCTGTATATACAGATAGATCTTGGTAAGGATAAATCAATGAGCTAAACAAATACTAAATTTTGAACCGTCTTATCCGGGATTACAGCACTTGTATGTGACTGTCAAAATCTTGGCTGTACAAAGGGATCTATCGGTTCAGAACTAGCTACTCATTTTAGTTCTTTGTTTTTAACTACTTGCCGAAGTCTAAATATGCATGTATTATTTGTTTGTGAATTTTGTGTTTATATTTATATTCTTTGGTTTTGGTTTGGTACATGTATATTTGTACGACGTGTGTTCCTTTATTCAATTTTGATTGTTTGTTTCACTTGAGAGATTGTCCTTCTTCTTTTCTTCAATAACAATTAAATCTTTAATATTTCATATTTGGTCTGATATGAACGAGTCATTTTGTCATTTGTTATGCCATTTGAGCGAGGGAAAATTTGAATACAGGACCAACTCATTAAAGTAGCTTTTGTTATTGAAAAACCATCCACAATGTCCTTGGATCCTTTCCAATTGATCAAGTGTAGAGTACGATCTGCATTGGTAGTAGCAATATTTTGTAATACTTCATCAATTGAAGAGCCCTAGGACAAATGTTGTTAATCAATGCAAACCAAACAGTGATTTTGTGGCCACTTTTGAAAGGATTTCAAGGATGATATCGATTGGGAGGTCTATCAACTGCTTTGTGCTCTTGCTGCACTGCCCCAACTTCATTGAGGCATTTGATCAAACATTTGTAAGGCTACATACATTCATATGTAATCTAACAACTTACATACATTCTCAAATTTCTTCATATTGTTTGAACAAAATTATTTTATAGTCTAAAATGTCAACTAAAATTCCCGGAGCAATGCGGCCAGATAAAAAAGATTGACGCATACCAAAATAAACCAATAATACAATTCAAGGGTATACCTATTACAAGTATAGTTTTTGTTTTTGTTTCTTCTAGGGTCAAAATTACAAGTATAGTTAGTTATTCAGACTCAATCCCTGGAGGGGGTATACAATAAACATTGGGTGTTTGGGGGTTTCGAACCTTTACCCATATGGATGAAGATGAAATAACTCAATCAACTAAACTATACCAGATTGGCCTAAATCAATAAACTTTAATCATGCATATATATATATATATATATATATATATTAAGCTAGATGAAGAAACTTCATTCTCAAAGTATCTTTTACCACCTAGTTCACTTGCAGGCCAGCTGGACTCAGATACTGGGTTGTACTACTTAACCACTTTATTCTCTCCCGCGGTCCCTCGCAGCTAATTTCCCTTTTGTTGTACTTGTCTTTTCAATCCTTTTACTATCTCTCTTTTTTCCAGCAAGGAGAAGCATATAATTAAATATTTGCATCTTAAACTAGTTAATTACGTATGCTTAGGATAAGGTTTTGGTATCTAGGTCTAGGAGGCAATGATTTAATGGCAGGCGTAGATTTTTACCTGGAGAGTGATTAAAAATGTATTTTATATTATCTTCATTTCTTGATGGCATGCACCTAATTCTGTCCAATCCCACACCACACCTATAAATATAATTAAAAGTCCAGGCAAGGCGAAACCAGATACAAGATATGGATCCTACCCTAGTGGAGGAGGGAGGGAGAGAGAAGAGAAGGTGATTTATTGACAAGATTCATAACGCCAGCTGCCAAATCTAGTGCCTGATGTCTTCAATCACTCAGTCAATCTCTCTGTCACTCAGTAGCGGTAAATAAAAACAGTGTTTAATTATACTTACTGCACTGCAACCGCATCTTCTGCCTTAATTTCCATGATTCCATCATGCAGAATCGTTGCCTCTCCCAGATAATATCATCGACTGCATAAAAAAATAAATAAATCCACTAACCCATAATTATACACCATCATGAGCAACCATTGCATTTAGCCATAGGCAAGTACCCTAGCTATAGCTATATATTCATACAATATATATATATATGTGCACAGTAAGTACACATCATAAGCATAACAGAAAGCATATATTTGATCGTACGGTTGGTATTTGACATGGTTGGCATAAATATATCAACCATCTGTAGATGACATCATTTTACTCATTAGGGTTTGGTTCATACATATGATACGTACCATGTCTTCTACTTCCAGGTGGTACATGCAGGGAATTAAGGTCGGCTTCTTGTGGCACATTAATCAATGAGTTGCAGAGTGACGTGGGGGTTTGATGGATACTTGATCAAGACGGCGCTGAGCTGAGGGTCTCATGTGTCATAAATTCATAATGGCTAAGCTACTTAATCATCTACTTTTAGAGAAATGGCTGCATGAGCAATTATCATTTGTGAAGATACTCAGATTTTCACAGCTCTATAAATTGGGACTGGACTTCCCCAACATCTTCACACTTACACTTTCCTCTCTTCTCTAGTATCTCCTGCTATTTAAGTTGTTGTAGATTTGTTCTACAAGTGCTAGGATATCCCAAACATGGCATCCAGATCATCCATGGTTTTCTGTTTTGTTTTCCTTGTGGCGTTGTGCTTGGTGCACATAGCGGAAGCTGCAAGCACTGGTCTCTCTCTCTCTCTCTCTCTCTCTCTCTCTCTCTCTCTCTCTCTCTTAAACAAGGAATTTTCTATTTTTTATTTTATTTTATTTCAAGTCAAATGCTTTAGTGATTAAATTAATTTTTCTGTGGCTACCAGATTGCAGACGCATTGGCTACGGTTGCTTTGGTGCTGAGGCAGCTGTTTTTCTGAGACAAAACAGAAAGGTCGATCCATAATATTACTTACATTTTCAATATATATATATATATATCTCATTTATTCGGGGCACAGAGATTTGTTACTCATTGTGCTTCTTTTGCATGCATATATGCACAGGTGCTCGTTGAGAAGGAGGAGGAAGTTGTTGTTGCTAAGGGTGTGAAGCTGCATGAACAAGCAGCTCCAAGTGCTGGCAATTTTGCTGATAATGGAAAGCATAACTTGGTTGGGTGGGAGTTAAGGAAGGTTCCTTCTGGTCCTGATCCACTGCACCACAATGGAAATAGCCCCAAAAAGCCTAGAAATGATCCATAAAAAAATGTGAGCCGTTAGATCAAGCAAAGCTAATCCGTTCTAGAACTACCAATGGATGCCTTTTGTATTTGATGCTTGTTTGGTCCGAGGAGAAGAAAACCCAACAAGTTTTCCTCCTGGACTTTTTCCAACTACTTTATGTGTAAAATATGTTTGTCTTAATATATGGAACATATCTTTTGTTTAGTATCTTTTGTTCAGTTTCTGTCAAGATATTAAAACCAGGTTTCTGTTTTTGTACAAACTAAATCTAGTTACTGTAAAAGAAATCTGAGGTTTTTTTACCCAAAATAATAATAATTTCGTGAGATCATAGGTGCAAGGGATGTCACAGATTTTGGCCCTTTTGGGCTGACCCCAGAGTTAAAAATAAATAAAAAGTTAAACCCCTGCAGACTGCAGACTGCAGTAACTGTCAATATGTCAAATTTGACCATTTGTGCACACAGCCCATTCCTGGCATGGCATCAGCCTGGATTGCGATAGAATCAATGGATGGATGGTGACATATGTGGCTGCATGTCATGACAATCTGATGGACATTAATTTATTGTGCATCAATTAATCTAAAACTAAATCCATATCTTGATGATGCGGGATCTGTCACACCAGTGATGACGTCTATAATCATTGAACAATAGAAAAGCAAACAAATTGAGAATGAAATCATTTCTAATGTAAAATAATAAAGAATAAGATGATATTTTATCATTTCCGGTATTGCTATATCCTACACCCTTTCTTCAAGGCCAATACCCGTTCTTTTCATTTTTGGTCAAAGTATTATGTTTCTTTCTAATGGTGAAAGAGGTCCCAATTTGAATTCAACTTCATAGTTGATCGAAATAAGAAGAGAAAATATATATGTATTTAAAAAAGAAAAAGACAAAGAGAACCAATCTTGTCAATCACAAGTTTGAATTTATTGTCTTCATCATTTTTATATGTAGAGTAAGTGTACTGTGAAGATTAGTAAGAGTACTTTGTGGAAATATGATAAGTAGTTAAAAAGGAAATGTCACAGCTCATCTGAAAATCTAATTCTTTCAAAAACAGTTTGAAAAAATACTATAAATATAAATAGCTTAGCTTATTAACACAAAAACATCAACAACAAGATAATTAAGACGTTGAATGAGTGAAATGGTAGGAATTCGAAACCCTTTTGCGTGTGTGCTGTGGTTTTTCCTTCTGGCAAGATAGATATGGTGTCTTGTGCTAGCTTCCTTTCATGGTGTCCATTGTCGCATGCGCTTCATTAGTTAATTGTATAAACATTATGTAAATGGTTGGGTTGGGAACTATGCTTATGTTGATTGACCCCAAATTTTGTTTGTTTGTTTGAAGGGCCAAAGCCGTTATTGAAACTTATATTGAGCAACTATGGGTTCAATGCCTAATCTTCCTCAACTTTGGCCAAAAAATAAAAAATAAAAATTCTTCCTCAACAGCTCACATTTACTTTGCTCATCAACTGAAGGTTTGTTCTTTGAATTAAAAAATAAATCATAAATAGTGGGGTAACGATTGTGCCAGTGCTTTTTCGTGGCTGAAGAAAAATTTTAAAAATTCATTAAGCCCAAACTTTAGCAAGGTTAACACCACCTAGATTTTTTAAAGAAAATAGAATTTAAAAAAATAATAATAATAAAGGTCAAAAAGGCTACAACTCCTCACCCTCCCCCTTCCCCTCTCCCTCCTTCCTCATCCGCCTCCCACTCGCTCTCTCTCTTTCTCTCTCTCCCCCATCAACTTTGACCCAACTCTCCCGCAGCACCCCCGACCACAGATAATTGGGTTAAGTTGAAGCCATGGCTGCTGCCGCTGATGATGAGCATGGCCAGCTCTTTCGTTAAATAGCATGGCCATGCCTTCTCCTCGCGGCCTCATACCATTCTACGCCAATCTACTCGAAGCCTGCTCTTTGTCTAAGAATCTCCAAACCGTCAAACAGCTCCACGCTAAAACCATAAGACTCTGCATTTCCCCCCACGACTTCATTCGAACCAAGCTCGTTTTCTCCTATGCCTCATGTGCCCAACTGAACCAGGCCAACCTCCTCTTCTCCTTCTGCAATCGCCAATCGACCTTCCTCTTCAACACCCTCATTCGAGCCCATTCGTCCCAAGGTTTGTTCTCTCAATCTCTGTCCATTTTTATCCGCATGCTTGCTGCCATTAAAGCCTTTGACCGCCATACCTTGCCTGTGGTTCTCAAATCTTGTGCTGGGTTATTGGCATTGAGGCTTGGGAAGCAAGTACATGGAGCCATTTTGGTGAATGGGTTTGCCTTAGATTTGGCGAACTTGAATGCGTTGATCAGCATGTATGCCAAGTGTGGTGAATTGGTTGGTGCGCGTAAAGTGTTTGACGGAATGCTCATAAGAAATGAGATTTCTTGGTCAGCAATTTTGGCTGGGTATGGAATGCATGGAGTGTTTGGTGAGGTATTTGAATTGTTTGATAGGATGGTGGAAGCAGGAGAGAGGCCGGATGCAGTGACATTCACTACAATTTTGACAGCGTGTAGTCATGGCGGGTTCACCGAGAAGGGGAGGGAGTATTTTGGAATGATGGAGCAGAGGTTTGGGGTGAAGCCCAGGTTGGAGCATTATACATCTATGGTGGATATGTTAGGCAGGGTGGGACGGGTGGAGGAGGCAGAGGAGTTGGCTTTGGGGATGACAGTGGAACCAGATGCGGCATTATGGGGCGCGTTGTTGGGCGCTTGTAGGATTCATGGGAAGGTCGAGGTAGCTGAGAGAGCGGAAGAGATGCTCTATGGAAGGCTACTTGGTGTAGTATCTCTTTGAGGCATTTACAGTGAAGTGCTTGCAAAAGGCCGGCAGCGAGTTTGGTTGCTCATGATGCTAAGTTTGCTTTCTCAAATCTGTCAGAACTGAAATTTGCCGGTAAAAAAGCCTGCGTATTCCTCAGGGGGAAAGTTAGTTTCTAGTTACTGGGAGTTGTTAGCCTAGGAATATGCAGGGAACAGATGGAACAGATTGATGGATATGCTCTCTCTACCATTGTTAGGGCCTATTACCTTATGCAAAAGCATAGGTTGATGACAATGGACAGAAATGATAGAGACTGTAAACCGCACAAGGACATAAGAATTTTTCCGTTCTACCGTTCTCGGACCAAAAGAGAAAAGCCATCAACGTCTGACGTTCCCTGTGATTTGCTAATTGTTCACCAAGAAGATTTGGGGATAACATGCTACGATAGCTCATCAAGAAGACTAAGAAAATTAGAAGTTGATGACTTGGTACCCAGCAGCAATTTTAAAAAGCGATTGTTATAGGTAAAGAAAACATCTTTACTCAACTTAAATTGATCTACAAAGACAGATCTCCACTTTTTGTTTCTTTGTTAGACTTTATTTCTTGTACGTGCAATTTTTTGTTCTGGTTTAAATTTGTCAGCTTGCATTTATAAGAATTAAGTTGTATGCGCAGAGTTTACAATAAATGACTGGATATATCATATATATACCAACACCGGATATAAGTTTGCAAGTTTATAAAAGCTAGGAAAATTTCATGGTATGCTAATTTTGGAGCATACGAGTGATGGTTTTATTTCACAGCCCAAATATGAATGATATAGACAAATGTATATATTTTGGAGCTTCACAAGTAGTCATATATCTCAATCAAACTCGTATGATTCCCCCAAAAAGTCTCCTGGAACATACCCACATAATTTGAGCTCAAAAGAGAGAAACTCTAGGGTCGAATGTATATGCTCTGCGTAGACATGAGATTTATCACCAGCCACGAATTCATGAATGTTACAGTCAATCTCAACTGAACTAAATCCCAGCGTCTTTTAGTACTATCTGTTGCATATATATTGGCCAAGAGAACATAGTTGGAATCAACACCAGGATCTAACTCATAGAGGTACTTCATTAATCTTTCAGCTAAACCGATATTCCCATTGGTTCTACATGCAGCTAGCAAAAAACACTCAACTTCATTTGGCTTCGTTGGCATGTTTTCGATTACTTTCAAGGCACTTCCAACATCCCTGCACGGCTATACATATCAACTATGCACTCCTAATGCTCGACTCTCAGGGTTATTCTGTGAATTCTCTTCATGTTATCATCAACACCTGTGTTCAATAGCACAGAAGAAAATTCATTCAAACGCTTACATAAAAGGATAGAAATTGGATAGAAATTTTACAAAGCTATTAGGGTGACTACATAATTAATAAAAACTATTCAATTTGCATATAGGTATATTATCTAGTTTAATTTTTTATGTGCTGGGCTCATGAATATATAACTAATGAGCAAGGATCAAAAACAGCATGCCTGAGGGCTTCTACAGGTTGTTTAAATGATGATGTTGATTATGACTACATGGTAAATACCTGAGTTCTGTTTCTGAACAAGTAAATTTCCCACTTAATAATTCCTGGAAAAATTGTCAGAACACAATCGAAGTTTAGGTAGGAAGGTTAAAATTGTTGAACTGTCTAGCTCTGCCCTCATTTTGCAACAATCAAGAAGTCATATTATGAGCAAATTATGCTCTTGTGTGTGCATGGATAATATAGTGAGATGTTTTACATGAGAATGCAATGAATTCATTACAAAGTAACATGTATATAAAGTGAAAACACATCCATAGGTGATGAAATAACCAAAATAAATAAATAAATATTTGAATCAACTATCATCTATCAACATTGATGTGCCATACAATTCTTACAGCTCAAGTAACAACTCCTGATGATACTGATGAAGCGTTTGTGTGTACGAGATTGGCACATATGCACGATTGAAAGGAAAATGCTTAATATCATATCCTATATGGTAGTACCTGCTGGATATCCTATATGGTAGAAAATACATCTATTGAGAAAATAAGCAATTTATTTGAGGATAATGCCACAATAGCCAAAAGTTTCTCTTGACTTACCAATTATAGCTTTTCTCATCAACCATCAGCAGAAGTAAGGGACTCTGCAAATCCATTAGGCCTTGCAGGAATACTGCCCTTGCTGTCCTGAAGGCTAAGTATAGCTGATCCCTCTGCTTTCTGCTTCCTTCTAAGAACCTGAAATGCAAGTCAATCCATTTTGTAAGAGTCAAGAAGTTAGGCAAGAAAATGAAGGGCAAGTAGTTACAAAAATGAATTGTACCTTCAGATAACCTAAGTATCAGTCAAACTCGTATGATTCCCTCACAATGTTTTCTGGAACATACCCACATAATTTGAGTTCAAAAGAGAGAAGCTCAAGGGTTGAATATATATGCTCCGCGTCAACATGGGATTTATCACCAGCCACAAATTCATGAATGTCACAGTCGATTTCAACTGAACTAAACCCCGGCGTCTTTTGTATTCCGAGGGCTTTCATGGTATTCCTAACTCTACTTGCACCATCCCACCTACCATCCGCTGCATATATATTGGCCAAAAGCACATAGTTGGAATCCACACCTGGATCCAACTCATAGAGGTACTTCATTAATCTTTCAGCTAAATTGATATTCCCATTGGTTCTACATGCAGCTAGCAAAGAACCCACCACAACTTCATTTGGCTTCATTGGCATGTTTTCGATTACATTCAGGGCATCTTCCAACATCCCTGCACGGCTATACAGATCAACTATACACCCATAATGCTCAATTCTTGGGGTTATTCTATGAATTATCTTCATGTTATCAAAGTAATGGAGCCCCTCGTTGACTAAACCGGCATGGCTGCACGCAGTCAGAGCTCCAGTGAAGCTGACCCCGTCTGGCTTGAACCCTTCCTTCTGCATGAGGTTGAAGAACTCGAGAGCTTCCTCTGCATGCCCATTAACTGCAAAGCCCACAATCATCGAGTTCCATGATACCAATGTCCTTTTGGGCATGCTCTTGAAGACTTGACGAGCAAAACCAATACAACCACATCGAGAATACATATCAATCAACGAGTTACTTATCCTAATATTGTCTCTAAAATCTTGCTTCATAATAAACCGATTTATCCACAAGCCTAATCCAAGCGTTCCCAAATCAGCACAAGCAGCAATTACAGCAATTAAGGTTACATAGTCTGGTTCCACACCCGAGAGCTGCATCTCCCGAAACCACTCCAATGCTTGCTCAAACTGACATTTCTTGACAAAGCCACCAATCAGAACAGTCCAAGAGACCGCATCTCTCTGTGGCATTTGTTCAAACAGCTTGACCGCATCGTCAACCTTCCCATTTTTCATATACCCATCAATCATCGTATTCCAAGACATTGAATTCTTCACATACAGCCCATCAAAAACCAGCCTAGAAAAATCCACCCCACCACACTTTGCGTACATATCAATCACCGCCGTGCCCACCATCACATTATTTGTATCCAAGCCGAGTTTCCGGGCATAAGCGTGCAGCGAAGCCCCAAACAAGACACCCTTCGATGGAAAATGGGCACAGCCGGAAAAAAGCGAAACGAATGTGATGTGGTTTGGCTCGATGCCGGCTCGTCTCATTCGGATGAAATGCGCAACAGCTTCAGCCAATTGACCATTTCGGCAGCGGTGGGATATGGAGGAGGTCCATGAAACAGTGGGGTCTATAGGCTTTTGGGCCTTTTTTTCCAGATAGAAAGAGTGTTTATTGGGATGGGTTGGATTGGGTGAGGTGGTGTGGGATGGGTTTGGAAGTGGGAGAATAAGTGGTGGCTGTTTGGGAAGCTGAAGGAGTTGGACTGGGGTTGCTGTGCACGCGGGAACACTCATTGTTTAAAATACCGTTACTGGAAATAGGAAGCGCTTGCCGTTATAAAAGGACCCGTCTGTTCAAACCCCATTTTCCATTAAGTTGACTAAAACTTTTAATGAATTTTATATTTCTAATGTAATCGTTAAATAAATTTCTATAAATTATTCTATCAAGTCCTAGACAGAACTCCAAATACTTTCTCCCAGATCAGGGCTAACCTTAAGAGCACGTCCACCCATAGTGCCATGGCAAAGGGTAAGCAATGATGGATCCAAGAATTTTCATTTCGGGGATCAACGTGTAACAGGTTAAAAAAAATTATCTACAAAATAAACCTATGAAAATGAAATGATAGTACTCTAATTCATAGTTAATATATAAAACCATACAAAATACTCATGTTCATTATCAAAGAGAATTACATCAACTTCAAAAAATAGACACACATTGCAATACACCAAAAATATATCTAAGAATGTGATAATAAACCAAAAAATTAGCACAATCCTCTTCGCCTCCAAAGGCGTCTCGTCCTATTCGACATAAGAACTGGCATATATTAGGGCAATCTTGCTCATTTTAGGGCATTTACGTCATTTTTGAGGTTCGTCGTCGTTTTGATTTTGGGTTTTATCTCCATTTCTTTTGAATTCTAGCTCTCAAACTTTGGATCCTTATGAGAACTGTCTTAGGAGGAGCTTATTCAAGCAAATATTTCTTCAATACATAAGAGTTAGGTTATTCTTGTAAAACTCTTTGTGAATTGAACATCTAAAACTTTTTTACCTAGATTGGCCTTAGGTCCCTTTTGCATTCATATCATACATGAAAAATTGTTTTGTGTAAAAATATTGGCAAAGTATGAAAAATAGTTTTTCAAAATAATCATTTTCTCAAGATAATTTTTGGTGGCTTTTATTCCTTACACATCAAATAAGAAAACTTGATTTTATGAGATTTTAGTATGAAGTATATATTGACTTAATGAGTCATCATTTTTAGCCTAAATCGTATTTTTCACTAAAACCAATTTTTCATATTTTGATTTGGTTGGAATTTTATTTTCTAGTATTTTTATTTGAATCCAAATGAGGGGTACTTCTTTATTTACATTGTAAACTTAAGTAAATGGAGTAATATAAAAATAAATGAAAGTAAAAGGACAAAGGCATTTACTTAAATGTTGAAAGTGGAAATAAGGTATATGCTTGTTGTGCTGGTGTGCTGCGCCCTCTAGAGCATTCCATCAAGCAGTTTGTGGGCAATTTGCAGAGGTCAACATCTCCCGCCTCCAATAGTGGATTCCAAGCTTGCAGGGGTCAATTGACTCCTCTTGCCCCTATGTGAATCTGCCCCTAAGGGTAAGGGCAAGTAGCATGCCCTAGCAATTTTTTTTTTGCTTTTCCACCCATTGTCATGGCAACCCAATGGAAATTACTATTCACATGAGATTAATTTTATTTTTATGTATGAGATTAATAATTAAAAAAATTAATAGATATGTATAAAATAAAAATAAAAAGATTCTAAATTTTTTGGTAATTTTTCAGAATTTTTTCTAAAAAATTTCTTCATTAATGTAGTGCCCTCAAATAATAGATTGGGTTGTTCTTGCCTTCGGGCCTGCCTAGTCTTCGTGGAGCCCACCATCTACCCAAGCTGGATTTGTGCAGTGGAGTGGGTTTCTTCAACATGGGGGCCTTTTGCTCAAGCTGGACTCTGCAGCGGAAGTGCTCTAAGGGTGTGCAATTGGTGCGATTTTTTGCGACATAAAAATTTAAAGTGCTTCTAAGGCCTCGTTTGGGAGTGATTCTGGATACGCCAAAAAGCACTTCTATGGAGAATCACTTCTCCATATAATCACTTTAAGTAGTTTTAAGTGATTTTATGAATAAGCACATGAGAGGTGTTTCTCCCCAAAATCACTTAAAATCACTTGAAGTGATTATATGGAGAAGCATGTGGAAGGTGCTTCTTTTCAAAAATGATTATGGCCTATCCAGAATCACAGTGTTTTTCTAGAAAGCATTTTGAATTTTAATAAATTTTATTGATATTTTTCTAATAGAAGCACTTCTAGAAAAAAACCGTTATGAGTGCTTTTTACCGAAACAGTCGCATACCAAAATTGCTGTAATGTTAATTCGTGGTGGTTGTGATTACAGGGAAGTGCCACCAGCAAGGTCTGTGTGGTTATTTTCGTATTTAAAGTTTGGGGCTGATTAGGGAATTAAAAGCAAACAAGAAACTGCAGCAATAAATACCAAGCAAAAATATTAATCATGAGACTGGAAAGTGGACCTTCCCAGGCCAGCTGCTGCCCATTTCTGTGCATGCCACCCAACTCAACTTCTAATTCGGGGGTTGAAAATTCAAGGCGTTTTTCTATATATAGACCCCATTCCAACCAACCAGCTATTCAATTTCTGTGGTCAGTGACTCAGTGGTATTGTATCTCACTATTAGATGACATATTTGATTTCGACCATTGTTGATGACCGTAACACCGACACCGACACCGACACGTGATGTTATTAGTAAATATATATATTTCTTAATATGACATTCTAAAGTATAAATTTGCCGTCAACTCATATTATAATAAAGCAATTATATATATATATATATTTCTTGTTACGACATTATAAAGTATAAATTTACCTCCTACGGATAACACTAAGTGATATTTTAATATATCATTTTTATAAATTAAAAAAAACTTAAATTATTAAAGTGCGAAACCATGATTCCCCTATTGTCTAACAACAGGTACATTGTTTCTTCTTTTGATATTTCAAAACCGTTGTAAACAAAAAACATTACTCTAAACTGATAACATGTTTGAGAGTGCTTTGTATGAGTTGTCTTTGTTCAAAAGAGTTTTTATCAGCAACACCTGTGTTCAATAGCACAGAAGAAAATTCATTCAATCACTTAAACAAAAGGATGAAATTGGATCAAAATTTTACAAAGCTATTAGGGTGACTACATCAATTAATATAAAAAAAACTATTCGATTTGCATATAGGTATATTATACAGTTTAATTTTTAATGTACTAGGTTGGCTCATGAATATATAACTAATGAACAAGGATAAAAAAAACAGCACGTTTAGGGGCTTCTACAGGTTCTTTAAATGATGATGTTGATTATGATTACGTGGTAAATACCTGACTTCTGAATAAGTAAATTTCCCACTTAAAAATTCCGGGAAAATTGTCAGAACACGATCGGAGTTTAGGTAGGAAGGTTAAAATTGCTGAACTGTCTAGCCCTACCCTCATTTTGCAACAAGCAGGAAGTAAGAACAATATATGCGCTTGTGTGTGCATAGATAATATAGTGAGATTCTTTAAAATGAGAATGCAATGAATTCTTTACAAAGTAACATGTATATAAAGTGAAAACACATCCATAGGTCATGATATAACAAACAAATTTTTTGAATCAACTATGCTCTATCTACATTGATGTGCCAGACAATTCTTACAGCTCAGGTAACAAATCCTGAAAATACCGATGAAGCATCTGTAAGTACTAGATTGGCTTGTATGCACGAACGAAAGGGAAATCCTTAATATCATATCCTATATGGTAGAAAATAGATCTATTGAGAAAAATAAGCCATTTATTTGAGGATAATGTAACAATAGCCAAAAGTTTCTCTCGACTTACCAATTATAGCTTTCCTCATCGACCATCAGCAGAAGTAAAGGACTCTGCAAATCCATTAGGCCTTGCAGGAATACTGCCTTTGCTGTCCTCAAGGCTAGTATAGCTGATCCCTCTGCTTTCTGCTTCCTGCCAAACCTTTAACATTTGGGGCAGAGGTTGGTTGTAATCAATCCCAGAGAGACAATCTGATTCGTCTTCAACTGGTTTCCACTTTTCAACAAGTAGGGACAACACGTTCACTGCATGGCCCATATCAGGCCGATGGCTTGGTTCCCTCGCTGTGCAATGGCCAGCCAGTTCAGTTATTATGGAGATGCTCTCAAAAGTTTCTTCATTAACTTCAAGGGCTGGATCAATTGCAGCCATAAGTTTCTCCTTGCTTGACTTGATCCGCCAAAACCACTCAGCCAAGTATCGGCTTTCCTCTGGCCGGTTCTCATCAAGTGCCATTAATCCAGTCAAAAGTTCCATTAGCACCACCCCAAAGCTGAACACATCTGCCTTTGTTGTGATTTTCCCCATTACTGAAACCAATTATCATGACTTGGTAAGATATTTGGGCAGATCAGATGTACAGGTAGATAACAAATTGAATACTTTAGAAAATTGAAACATAAGTAGAGTATCCCATAAATTCCCACCAGTTGTGTTCAAGGAAACTACTGGTAGTTTTAACTAAAGTAAGATACACTAGTCTCATACCAAGTGAACTCTATAGTTATTAAGTTATATAACATATTCCTGTAATGATAAGAACTCTTTATCAGCCCTTTTTTCAACGACATAATAGAAACATCTATTAATATTGCCTTTTGATCTTTGACCAAACACACCTTTATAGAACTAAGAGATATAGTATGGCGTTTGACTTGTAGATTATTCATCACCGTGGGGCTTAATCAGAGGCAGTTTATCTCTCATTGAGGTTAAAAAGTAAAGGAATTTATTGGTATTTACAGCTGTGATAGACATGTTTCACATGTACAGGACAATCCACAAGATGTGTGCTTGATGGTATTAGGGCACCAAGCATTTTCATTATCGCAAAATAAGAAGAATAGATATTGCATTTTAAAGCCTTTCTAATGGCAAACAATCCTTCATTATCGCATTTTCATTATCCCAAAATAAGAAGAATAGATAAGGGGTTTTCAGATGCAGATTTATTTACTAGAGCCAACAATCTTTCTCTTTCAGATGCAAATTCTAAATTACCCTATGGTAACTGAGTTAAAGACAGACCAAGTGTTCTGAGCCAGTTATCAATTTCGTTTTTACTGTAGTGGGAAACAAATTCATTTTTTCCTCATGCATTCCTTAAGTCCAATATTGAAATATTGTAATTCATTTTTGTAGATTTTTCCCACTTTGTGACTACTGTTTCTAGAAGTGCGTGCTCTCCAAAATATGAGACCTAATTCAACCAACAAATTTATAATCATAACTGCTAAGTATTCGCAAATCATAAGAACTTAAAGAACTGTGACAGAAGTATATACCTTATTTTTCTGTTTAAGATAAGAAAGGGTACCTAAGAGTACGAAACATGAAAATTCTAGCTAGACATGAAGTACTGATATTAAGTGAATTTGTAAACCAGATAAGATTTCAATATAATAGTTACATTAGTGTTTTGAGTCTATTCTTTTGCATGCTTTAGCAGATGAACTTATTTCTGAATTTATTGCAAGAACAAAATCTGCGAGGGGAATGAAAAGAAAATTTTACCTGCATATTCAGGTGCAAGGTATCCAAATGTCCCTGCAAGCTTAGTGGCAATAGACTTCTCCCCATCAGGAGCAAGTTTCACCAACCCAAAATCCGAAACTTTTGCATGAAAGTTATCATCCAGAAGAATATTAGAAGATTTGAGATCTCGGTGTATGAAGGTCTGGCGGGCTAAATTATGTAGGTACTCCATTGCTCTTGCAACATCCAATACAATTGTGAGTCTCCTTGTCCAAGATAAAGGTTTCAGGTTGAGGCTCTTCCAATGGAAAAGATGCCGGCTAAGAGCACCTTGAGACATATACTCATAGACAAGAAGCCTTTCATTGCCTTCGATGGAGTACCCCAAAAGAGAAACTAAGTGCCGATGACGGACCTTGGATAGAACAGCAATTTCTGCCTCAAATTCATCCAATGCTTTGCTACTGATTACCCCACCCTCCATTCTCTTAACAGCTAATTGTGTCCCATCTTCTAGTTCACCCTTGTAAACAGTTCCAAATCCGCCACGGCCTAGCTCATTTTCGGGTGCAAAATTTTTGGTCACCTTTCGAAGAACTTGAACAGAAATGACAAGGTTCCCAGCCTCAATCATATGAGAGTTTTCTGTTCCACCACTGTTGTGACTGACCGTAGTCCTAGTTTTAGTTGACAAGCTTCCAGTGGTGTTACTTGCAACTGCAATCTTGTACAAATTTTCTGGATCAGATGGATCTCTTGGGTGAATCACAATGGAAGCAGGAGCCTCCAAGATGTTTTTCCTTTTCTTACAGCAGTATATAGACAGACAAATCAACAGAAAAGCTGCAACACCAACAACTGCAATTCCAGCAACGATAATAACTGGTTTGGGTCTTTTGGAACTTTGGGGTTGAACATCCACTTGGATAGCACCAGATGGATTCTGGTCTGGATGAGTAATTGGCGAAGGTGGAATCTGTGATAATGGGGATTTTGGTGGTTTTCCACTACCTGATGATGGTGGTTTTCCACTACCTGATGATGGACTATCTGATGGAGGTTGCAAACTGTTGCGTGGAGGTGGGCTTCTAGTAGATAAAGGAGGTTGTGCAGTCTGATTAGCAACCTGATTAGCAACTAAAAGAGGATTTCCCTCGGCGATGACCTTCAGGCTATCAGGAAATTTTGGTAATGGAGGCTCAATATTGTTTCCACTTATATCCAATAATCTCAACGATTTCAACTCAGTAAAGTTAGTTGGAACTTTACCAATTATGTTGTTTCCTGGAAGTATTACATTTACCAGAGAATCCAACTTTGCAAGTGCAGGACTCAGGGTACCATTTAACTTGTGCCTAGGCAAATTGATGACAGAAACCTTGGACTGTGGATTGCAACTCAATCCCAACCATCCCCCCTCACAGGGGTTATTACCAGACCACTCAGATGCAAGACTTGATGGATAATTCAAATCACCAAGAAAATCCAGAAGTGCAGTAACTTCCGGGGCACATTGAACCCCAGGATCAGGTTGACAAAATGAATTAGAATTATAAGTAACATTACCAGACTTAAACTTCGGTATTGGACCCATGAGCTGGTTATTTCCCAGGTCCAATTTGTCAAGCTCCATATCAGCCAATGTCTGCGGAATCAGACCAACAAGATGGTTACCATTGAGGTTGAGTTCCTTGAGAGAAGAAAGATCCCCAATGTTCTCTGGGATTGTTCCTGTGAATGGTTTCCATGCAGCCAAACCTGTGTCAATGATGACATTGATGCAATTACATCAATTGGACCAGTCATGCCACCATCTTGATTATTCAACCACAAAATCTGCACCAAAGACTGTCCGAAACTCGGGGGTATCTCACCAGTTAATTTATTAAAGGAAAGTTGTAGCACCGTGAGAGACGGCAATCCGCCCAAGAATTCAGGCAATGGTCCAACCAAATTACATTCAATCAAGGAAATATTTTGTAATTGAACTGATTTTGCTAACTCATTAGGAAGAGACCATCCAGTAGAGGCATTCAATGGAATGTGATCCAGAGCCAAAACCCTGAGACTGCTAAGTCCATCGAAGAAATCAGAAGGGATTGTATCAAACAGGTTCTGATCCAAATAAGCATATTCCAGTTCAGATAAGCCACTAAAAGTGGGCAATTTCCCACTGAAGTTGTTCCTTTGCAGGCCAAGGTTGTAGAGCTTAGAGAGCTGGTTGAAGTTCTGAGGCAGAGGTCCTTTGAGGCCCATATTCTGAACTTGAATCTGTGTGACTCTGTCCCCACTACAGAACACATGAGGCCATGAAGGAGGGCCACAAGGGTCAAACCCATTTTCTGGCCAATTGAGAAGCTCTGAATTCTCCAACCCTTTTCTGAAATCATTCAGAATTTTCAGGTCACCAGGGAAAGTGGCACCATAAGCCACCATGAACAGACACAAAACCAGAAAATTGCATAGCCTCCATCTCCACCCTCCCTCCATAGCCACTCCCTATAACCAATCAACTACAGCAACAGCAACAAAACCCAATGCACTCCAGAAACCACAAGAATTTCAACACCAATCCCCAAAACAGACTATAATAACCAAAACCAAGATTCAGAAATGCAGAGAAAAAGTAAACGGAGAAGAAAACTGAACCTGAAATGCAAGTCACTCCATTTTGTAAGAGTCAGGAAGTTGGGCAAGAAAATGGAAGGCTTTGGGGAAAATGGCAACGACCCAGACGAGAATTCAAAGCTGAGAAAATGAAGAGAGATAATCTCATACTTTTTTGGTGGGATTTACCTAATGCTGAACCACGAGGTCCATGACTCTCTCTCTCTCTCTCTCTCTCTTTCTCTCTCTTTTGCTCGCTTCCTTTAACCCTTTTCTCTGTTCCAGTGTGTTTGTTGTCTGTAATTCCTCTACAGTTTGCAACCAGTGAACTGACTCTTTTGCCCGAGATGAGGTTGGCTAAGGTGAGAGTGACAAGTATCATCCACGTGTCAGCAGGAATTAAAGAAGAAAGAAAGAAAGATTTCCTCTTTAATTCCCACAATTGTATATATTGCCGTGGGAGGCATGATATTAATAAAAAAATATTTAAATAATTATAATGGGAAACCCAAAAGCCAAACAAGTGATTTGTTGAGTCCCACACCGAATTACTGCTCTGCTGGCGGCTTCAGGGAGACTCCGCTAATTACGGATTCGGAGATTTCCACACATTCTTTGTACTTCCTCGGAAGAATTAGAATAATATCTTGGACTAGGAATCCTGGTGTCTCGTATTGCCATCATTGTTTCTTACAATTTTCCATTTACAGTAAGTTCATGTTTCAGAAAAGGTCCTCTACGAAACTCTCTATTTATCTCGGGTTTCATTTTCGTTTCCCATGGGGAAATGAGCAAATTTTGGCTCTTTAAAAACTAATGAGGAGCTCCTCTTCAAAATAAATAGGATTTTGACACTTGTTAATTTCATTTAATTTTTCTTTTTTTGAAATTATTTTAACTTTTGTTTTGGAAATTATCAAGTGTCAAAACCTCATTTGCTTTGAGAATGAGTTCCTCCTCAGTTTTAAGGAGTCAAACTTTTTTCGAAATGAAAAAAACTTATTACATTGTGTTATGACCCAGTTGCGCTCATTAAAATTAAACAAATCACATAAAGCATTCTTTTTCTAAATTAGGAAAAAATATAATTCCTACGCAAATCAAATTTGAGCAAGAAAATAAAATGGTATTTATGGTTACTTTTCAGTATTACTAAACATGATAAATGAATCTATGAATTTTCATTTCTTATCCTCTCTTGAAAAAGACATAGAAACTGATTCACGCATTTAACCGTGTTTCTAAAATGGCTTAAAACTATAAAATTTCTTCTGAGAATGTTTGGTGCAGAAACTTAAAAGTGCATATGAATGGTAAAAACGAAAGTGTCTTTTTTTTTCCTTTGAAAAATCACTTCAATTACTAATTTAAAATTAGATTATATTTTTAACAACATCGTTTTCAACAATAACGCTTATGAACAAAAGTATTCTCGAACTGCCTGAACAAGAAGTGATAATTATATAAGAGGATGTGAGTGAGTGGTAGAGTGTGTTAAGCTTATTATGACAGCTCATTAGAACCCTTTGGAAGTCCACATCTCTTGATGATGAAGACGTGGTGCAACAAAAGGAAAGTTGTGTCGACGTACATACACAACTGTCCCTATAGTAGTAAGGAAATAACATGAGTTGTAGAATTTGTCTCAAAATTTTTTAGAAGTCCTTGCATTGCGTAATTATTAACTAGAAGAGAATTTGTCCCAAATTTTAGCCGCTCTTTCCCTCTATGAATCCTAAAGAAAAATTTCATAGAGGGGAGTGAGGAGGAAGAAGTGTCACTATCCCTCATCCCCCTCCTCTTTTCTCGTCTTTTCCCTTTAGGTTAGTAAATAAGTCCACTATGGCGTTTTGAATAAAAAGCTCATTGTGGTGGTTTCTTCTAAGCCATTATTAGATTGAAGTTCCCCATAAGCTCTTTTAGTCTATGTTCTCAATCAAATATCCTACTCCCATAACTCGCTCCCTAATGCTGCTCATGTTCTTTAAATTTAATTCTACATCATATTTGGCGGAGGTTGCTGCAAATCACCCAATTGTTCTTTGGCAAATGTGTTGTTTTAGTTTATTTGTTCGCTTTTATGCATAGGTAGATCGTTGGAAATCATATTTTCCCCATATATGTTACAGATGTGATGGTGGGTGTGGCCACAAAGGCTCTTCTTCATGTGGTGGTGGTAGGGTTCGTTTAGGCTCATGGGTTGATTTAGGGTTTTGGTTATGTTGAGTTTGTGAGCTTTGTTTGGGTTTATGACTAATTGTGGTGATGTGGGCTAGTAGTTTTAGTGCAACTTTTGTCCGCATTAGTTTTGCTTTTAGCATGTTAGTTTGTTGCCCTATTGGGATTGGTATTTTAGATGTCTTGTTGATGTCTTTAATTGTACTGTTGAAGTTTATCTAATGAAGTTTTTATTTGATAAAAAAATAAAAAACTAGAAGAGAAAGATATTGAATGTTGTGAATAAGTGAATGAATAGGTCAAGCAGACCAACTAAACCAATTATAAGTATTATTAGTTTCTTTATCAAAGAATCTGCTACCATATTAGCTTTCCAATATAAATATTGAAACGAGAGTTGAGTAGATTCTCAATTTTTATGATGATGATGATGTTGTCGTTAGCCTTTATGTCTTGTTTTAGTTTTAGGTTTTGTTTTGTTTTGTATTTTTGGCACCCTAATTTCTTTTCCTCATTGTTTTTTTATAATCTAAAAATTGGTTTGTTGTGATGGTGTTGTGTAATGGGTTTTTTATTTGCAGGTCAATTAGTTAAGAGTATTGAGAGCGCATCTCGCATCCAAGTTCAAATTTCATTTTCTGTAAATTATATTAATTTAGAGTAGTTTAGACAATCACTTGTATCAAAACTTTTATGCTTAATCTTTAATTTCATGCTCTCTAAACAAATCCATAAATTTTCTAAATCTTTCATAATCCCCTTAAACATAATCTTAACTAATAATACACCTGAATAAACTCCCATCAACACTAAAAAAAATTATTTAAAAAGCAATCAGAAAATTAAAAAGAATAAAGAATAAAAAAAAGCTTGCGTGACTGAAGAGCTTGGAAGAATTATCAAGAACCAGAAAGTAACTGATTACTGTAGGAAGAGTGGGTAACATGCTCCATATCTGGACATAAAAGCAAAAGGCATGCAGTTGTAAGATACAATTGTAATATTCATTTGATCTTAGCGGGATAGATTTGTCATTTGGTTGACAAGCATGGAGGACACAGCATACTTAAAAGAGTTAACATTCTTACTATGTTTTCCCCTTTCTTGCTCGATACAATTAAGCTCCCCTTTGTTTCTGTATTAAGAAATCATATCCCAAAAAAGGGTATTTGTGGGGACCGGAGATGGATTTCTTTTGACCGTTTCAACAAGGGCCCTAAATACTAATTAGAGCAAGTAATTATAGTGCAATATTTGAGTATTACGCAGTATAATTTGTTCAAGTATTATAATATAATCTTGATTTTATAATTCACTTGAATTATAACACGTAAACGAATTATATTATATAGCTATATTTCAATACCATACCACAATTTCTGAACTTGCAGGGATATATCTTGCCCTGATCTCAGGGCAGGCCAAATGTACAATATTCTAGCCAACAGTAACTATTGCTTGCATAATGAGGCCACAGATGCTTATCAGACTGAAAACACATTCGTGGACATTTCACCTACACATGGCAGATGCATCTACAAGGAGTTGGAGTTCAATTTTGCTTCCATTTTGGAAGATCATAAATTCATCGTTCTAAAATATCTAAAATTTAGGGTTTATTTGTAGGTTCCAAAATGGGCAAAATAGATTTTGAAACAAAGTTTTTTTTTTTACATAAAAAGTAAGAGACTTGTAATTTAAGTGGTTAAGAGTAGTTACTTTTGCATATGTCCTAGATATTCGAATAACTCCTCTCCTCATTGATTGATCGAAAAAAGAAATTAAAGGAAAAAAATGTAAAGAAAAAAAAAAAAAAAAAAAAAAAAAAAAAATATATAAGACAAAATAATTAGGTTTAGTTCCAGGGCTACATTTACCAGAGTTAGGGTTGATTTTGAGACGGATCAAGTAGGAATTAGGGGATTTCAATTCCAATTCAAAAAAATTCGGAATGAAAATCCTATTCCAATTTCGTTAAACAAAATTTAGGAATTTCAATATCCATTCCAATTAGGAAAACTCGGAACTTATATATTTCAGTATTTTTTGAAAAATACTAGTTCAAAATTTTAAACATGCACAATCATGTTGAACGCTTGAAAACTCTTGTATTCTCTATTACTTGGATGTTGTTACCCTGTATGGAATAACTTGTCTATGTATATTGGTCATTAAATTATATTTAGCTCAACATGAAATTAAATTGTATAAAATCTAAGCTTGAAATTCCAATATATTTCAGAATTCGGAATTTTTTGATATTTCGAGATACATTCCAATTCCAGTCCAACTTTTTTTGGAATTTTCGGATGTCAGAATTGATTTGGAGTTGTCAAAATTGGAAGTTTTCAAATCGTATAAGCCGGAAACCAGAGTTTTTAAGTTAGTTCACTATATCAAAAGAACAGTACACTTCACTTAGTTTGCCTCGGAAGCACTAAAGTGATGTGCCTTCTATAGTTTAGAAGGAGGGAGTTGTGGTGCGCCTTCTTTGTTACTTTTGGATGTAATATTAATACAACAGAACATGGCTCGGCTATATGTACACGTGGTAGGAACAGAAGTGACAATGAGTGGAAAGGGATTTGCGTTTTGTAAGTATCTGCATTAACCTATTCAGTTTCCGTTTGCAGACAAAAACACGTGCCTCACGACTTGACGCTCTCGTCCGTTAGCTTATCAAAGTACTGTCAATAGAGGCCCGT